AAAACTCACTGCGAGCGTTCCTGGGGGTGCTGCGCCCCCGCTGCCGTGCCCAGCTCCCCCTGGAGCCTCCTGCCCTGGCATTTGGGGTGAGCCGGGCACCCCAGTTCTCCAGAGAGAGCCGGACTGGGCACAGCCCCTCTTTCCTCAGGCTCTGGGCCGGTGCAGCCCCTTACTGAGACCACAGCGGGTAAATCTGACCCGGGTCAGGCCCCCCAGCCACGCCACCATCCCCGAGGGAGGTTTTTGCAGACTCACCCCAAAAGTGAGTACCCCCAGTGCCCGCTGCAGCCCGGGGTGCTGCCCCACAGCAGAGCCCACCTGCGGCTGGAGCTGGGCTGTGCCCCACAAAGCCCTGGGTGCTCACAGATGCTCGGGGGGGTTTGGCTCAGGCCCATGGGGGAGGCAGACTCATTCCCAATCCATAATAATTTCCCTGCAGCAATCATGCAGAGACACAAAAGGCTTGGGAACCTTCAGCAAGAGACAGGCAGCCAAACTCCAGCTGGACATCCCTGCCAGGGAGCAGGAGATGCTCAGGAGTGACACCCAGCTGCCATTTCTCTGGCGAATGCCACACCATGGCATTGGCAAAAGAGATTCTGGGGTCCTCACCTGAAATCCCGATTGCTGCTTGAGACGTGAGCCAAGCTCGGTGCAAAATGTGCCGTGTCCACCTCTCTGTGCCCCTTCCCAGGTGCTTCCCCTGCCACACTGGCTCAGCTTGCCAAGGAAATGAGGGTCAGAGACATTCCAGGAGCCTTTGCTTTGCCATGGAAGGACTTTATTTATCAAGAGCATGTGACACGGGTTTGTCTTTCCTTCAGGGATCCCCCTGATTGATTCCCTGGGATGTGACCGTCTGTCCCGTCCCTCGGCATGTCCTGCAGCCCATCCCTGCTGCATGTCCTGCAGCCCACTGCTCCTTGCACATCGGGGACCCGTGGGACTCTGCCCTCTGCTCCTTGCACATCCCATCAGGTCTGCTTTAGGTGGATCTCCTGCAGAACCAGGTCTGCTTTAGGTGGATCACCTGCAGAACCAGGACTTTTTTAGCCTGATCACCTGCAGAACCAGGTCTTTCAAACACTCTCCAATCCACGAGGAGGAAAACCCACTTGTCACATTCCCAGGATTACTGTGCCACAATCCTGTCTCTCAGCTCAGCATCCTCTTTTTAACCACCCTCTCATTTGCTGTACCCAGTGACACAACCACATCCACTCCCCCCCTCAGCCCTCACTGAGAAAATTCGGGTTTTCACCCCTACAGGTGTGCCAGCCTGGGCAGAAAGAAAAGGCTGCCAGAGCCAGAGAAATACTAAAACCAGACACAGACAAAGCAGGGCTGGAATATTCTGTTTCAAAGCAATGACAGAAAGTGGAGCTGAGGCTAAAATGAATAAACTCCAGTTATTGATAGTTTGCTTTGAATGAACAGCTCTGCTCCACCAGCCTGCTCCTGCCTTGAGTGGAGGGGCTCCATTCTGGATTTCCATCCCTTCTCTCAGCGATGGTTTGCTCAGATCTCTGCTCTCCTGCTGGCTCACCCACCCCAAGGCTTCACCCCCAAAATCTGCCCACCCTTATCAGAGCCCCCAGTCGCTGCCATCCCTTCCTGCATTTCTCTCACTGCTCTTCCCTTTAAATTCTCCCCGAGTGAATTCCCTCTCAGGGAGATGCTGAATTCCCAGTGACCCCTCCTCATATCCGGAATCCTACCAAAAAACAAATTATTTTTGGATGTAAAAATAATCCTGCACACTTCAAACACGAAGGAAGAAGCAGAGCAGCCTTGTCCTCACTTGCTGGGTGACCCTGGGCAATTCAGTCCCTTTCAAGGGTCTCAAGTGACTTTATTTTTAAAATCACATAAAAATGCAAATTTTGCCTCTTCTGCAAAATATTTTGGAATGTGCTGAGTGACAGAATTGAGCTGAGGTTTGTTATCACGATCAGGCACTTTCTGAAAACGGTGTTTTCACAGCCTGGAAAATATCAGGAGATCTGCTGAGGCTTGATAAAGAGGGATGAATACACTGGGATGAGTAATCTGTCACCCTGGAGGAGATGTAGGAGTCTGTGGGTGCTGTCTGAAATGTGGCTGGAATGAGGAATCAACGGATGATCCCAGCTTTTCATGCTTCAGGGAATAAAAAAAGGCAAAATTACCTGAGCACCTTGAACTCAGGTGTGCTCAGCCTCTCACCCTGAGTTTTCTGCATCCTAAAAGAAATATTCCAGGGAATGACTCTCAAGCCTTTTGAATCAATGGGGTTTTTTTTTCTGTTTCCCTAGAAAGTAGAGAAAGCCTGAAAATGCTACCCCCTAATGGCACAGCCGGGTGTGGGGTGCTGGCCTAGGAAAAGCTGATCCAGGTTTTATCCACAGGGAATAAGAGGGATGGAAATCGTGTAGTCTCTGCTAGAAAGATGTGTCCCTGCAGGGAGGAGACCTCGTGCAAACACCCTGACAGCAAAACGTTCCTCCAGGAAGGGGATGAGGAACAAAAATAAATCCCATTTTTGGCATTCAGCTGAACTCAAACCCAGAGGTTCCAGCTCCAGCGTTTTGGATGTGGGAGATGTTTTGAGTGTGGGATCAGGGATCCTGCCTGTTCCAGCTCCCTCAGCCCAGGGCTCAGGCAGGCCCTGGAGAAGCTGATGGGTTCATTGCTGTCTTGGACCCAAAAACCACAACTGGAATAAGGAGAAAAAAAAAGGGGGAAAAATACTTTAAAAGGGCAGAGAGTTACCAAAATGCTTTTAGGATTTTGAAACTCATAGGGGGTTGTAAAGTGGGTTTGGAGGTCTCTGTGATCCAGGTGAGAAGGGGAAGAACCCAGAAGAGCTCGATGAAGTGGATTTCTGTCCCTGGAAAGGAATGAGGTGGATTTTCCAGTTATCCAGAGAAATGAGAAGTTATTTCCTTCTGTCCCAACAGCCCTTGGGTTTTTCTGCTCGGTGCAGACCCTTTAAAGGTCCTCGAGTCCAACCCTTGTGGGATGAGCAGGGGCAGAGTGAGCTTGATCAGCTTCACATCCAACCTGACCTTGAATGTTTGCAGGGATGGGGCACCCACAGCTTCTCTGGGCAACCCCTGCCAGCGTTTTAGGAGATGTTTTTAGGATGTTTTGGAGAAACATCCCTCTGTTAAAAAACCTGGCAGGAATCAATCGCTGTTGGGGTGGGTTTTTAAACCCTCAACTTTACAGTTCTGCCGCCTGTTGGACTCCAGGAACTGCCATCTCCACGCTCAATCCACACCACAAATTTCCAAACAGCTCCTCTGCTCAACCCAACCATCGGTGAAGCCTCTATGGACAAAAAAAAACCCAACAAATGCAGGCAATTCCTTGCAGAATCCCAGTTTGGGATGCAGTCACTCCTGGAGGTGGGCAGGCCCTCGGAGCCGGCCCTCTGGCATCTCCCAGTCAGCAGGCACACCGCACACAGCGTCTGGGAATTGCTCAGGTTGGTTGGTTTGGTTTTTTTTGCTAAGTTTTTATTTTAATTCAAGGACTTTGCTTCATACAAAATGGAATTGTAGAAACAACTGCAGAATTCAAAGTTTGGCTGATAAATATTACTCAGGCAGCAAACTAGGCAATCACAGAACCTTTTTTTTTTTTCTCAATTTTTTTTTTCCCCTTTATATTTTTTTGGGTAAAGTTCCGTTTGTGTTGCATGATTGGAACTTTGATCGTTTTTCACACTGTTTTTTTAAATATAAAGTTTTGCAACAAACCCCCGAATTTATATCAAATATAATTAAAAATTAACAACTGATGAATACATTGTATCAAAAAAGTACGAAGATAAACATTTTCCATGCACATACTTTTTATAGATATGTATATATGTATATATATTACATGCAAACATTACTTATTCAAAGTACAGCCACTACGAGACTGGTTCTGGATGCAGAAAACTGATCGGTGCAATTCAAGTTTGGCAACTCACTATGAGGATTCTTGGAAAGATGGAAAGACAGCAGAGAGGCTGTAAAAAAACGTTGGGAAAGGGTTATGGATAATTGTGGTCTGTCACTGTCATCGACCCCTACGAGGCGGGTGGAGGATTTGGACAACTTGAGATTCTTCTTTGTGTTCTGCCTAAGAATTGGGGTGACCCAAGGCTGTGTTAGTGCAGGGCTGGGGGGGTTGGGGATGGAAAATGGGAGAGGAAAGTGGGGAAAAGACAGAATTATTCCGTACAGAAAGACATCTCTGTTGCTTTCCAGTGTGGGTACAGTGTTTGCATGCACTGGCAGAGAGATGGTGTTGCCCCTTCCCCTCGACTTCCTTGAGTAAAATAGGAACGTTCCCACGGAAAAATTCAAATAAAGTGTTTGTGCCTTCGTTTCAGGAAAATGTATAAAACATTTGGTCACGATCGTGCTGAAGCCTGAAACAGGAAAATCCAGCAGCTAAAGCTACAGATGGATGAAGGTCTTTGAGNTGGGTGGGTGGGTGTGTGTCCGGACGTGTCGTCTGGTTGCATAGCCCTCCGTTTGGGAATGCCAGGAACGCCAGCCGTGACCTCTGGCTACCACACTGCCTTTATTCCGAGCGCACACGAGTACAGAGACAGAGATACAGACAGGAGTTAGCCTTTAGCAGAATCCAGGGATGAGATCGGCCAGAGATTGCTACTGAACAGAACGAAATTAAAACAAAACACCGGAGGGAACAAAACCGGGTTGAGTTTCCTCAAGGGAAGAGCTACAGGAGATGTGAAGAACCACCCTAGAGCAGACTGCTCCTGCCTGAGGCTGACAGACTTTGCTGAGAGCACGAGAGAGCTCCTGAGCGTTTTGGTGGCATCTGATCCCCTCCAAGCACCCCAGGGACAGAACAGATCACCAGGGCCAGCGGGATTTCCACCCATCCCACGCCACCGCTGCGCCTGGAGAAGTTCCACAGGTCTGGGGCTTGGTAGAACCTCTGAAAAAATTCACTTCTCAAACCCTATCCTCTTTCCTAGCGGCGTTTTTAGGGATGTGCCCAGCACCTCCCACCCTTCCTCCTTTCACCTTTTAACCTCTCCACATCTTCTGGCTGCCCTGTGACCCAAACCAGCCCCACAAGGGCTCAGCAGGGCCTTGGGCACAAGGTCGTGGCCGAGCTTTGTCCCCAGCCTCCCTCCCCGCCAGCACAGCGCGTTTGCCCCTTTCCCAGGCTCACAGTGCAGGAATCCACACGGGCACAAAAGAAAGAAACCAGCCAACACAAGAGTCATTGCAAGAAACGCAGAAATCTCATCCCTGAGAATCAGAGTTAGAGGTTTGGATTATTATTATTATTATCATCTTTTTTTTCTTTTTAACCTTCTTTTATCAGGCAATAAAAACAACCCACTCCAACTGCCCTCCACGCCAGTGATGCACGGCCTGAGCTCTCTCAGCTGGCCTGTGGGAGATGCTGCCCTTTCCCACCTTCATTTCCTCCACTGGGCAATGAGACAAGGCCGGCTTTGTTTGCTGCAATCGCTCCCCTCCCACCCATAAAAGTATATTTATATATATTTATAGATTCTAAAAAAATAAAATAAAACAAAAATAAATTAAAAATAAAAAAAAAGTAAAAGGCCAACAAAACCCAAACCAAGCCCAAAGCACGTTTTGCCTTCCCCACTGGAAGCTGCCAGCCTGGGGAGCAGTGTTGGGGGCCGTGGTGACCCCAGGGCCCCTCCGAGGCTCCGGCAGCTCGGCCCCTGCCCCCTCTGCCCGCCCCATGCTCGCCCGAGCTCTGATGCCTCCGAGCAAGAGGTTGCATCGTCACTGTGAAAGATTTCAAAGGTTAGGCACTTAGTAGTGAACAACTGGAGCATTCGGTAGAAACGGTGGGACCTGGAATGACAATTGGACTAATTCTCTACAGAAAGAGGAAATTTTTTCTTTTTTTTTTTTTTTTTTTGGTTTTTTTTTACTGTACAATTTACAAAAATGCACACAATGAAAAGTTAAAGTTCTATCTAATAGCTTGATATAAAACCAATAACATTTCTTCTTCTCACCCCTACGCTTTTTTTTTTTTTTCCTCTTTTTGTTTGGGCTGTTTGTTGTTTGTTTTTTTTTTTTGTGGACTTTTTTTTTTTTTTTACATTGTTTTTTGCTAAATCAAGCTTATATTGTAAACAAGACAAAACAGTGAGGGCGTGTTGCAGTCAACAGGAGAGAGGGATGGATTGAAAAGTCTCAGCAGCAAGGAAACAGTCCTTACAAAGGAGCTCTCTTGTGGCTTTACCATGTGTCAGTGTGAAGGACCCGATGTGGCGAGTGACATTAAGAGACCCCCAGGGCAGCGGTGCCACAGCAGGGTCAGCTCAGGGGTGGCACCAGCTCTGCCCTAAAGGATTGCAGTGGCTGAACATCAAGTCCCAAAGGACTGTCCTTTGTTCTGGGCTGTGTTTCTCCTCTCCCAGTTTCTGGGGTGCATCTCTTCCTTCTCAGCGCTCAACGAGGCAAAAGGCAGGGGGGCGAGCATTGTTCGCGCGAGTCCCTTCGCGACCCCCGGCTCCTGCCCTGGCAGGGGGGAATTATGATGGTGAATTAATTAAGAAATAGCCCAACAAAACTGCGCCAATCTCAAGAAGGACCCACAGTTCTGCTTTTCCACCGTGGAAGGCGAGGATCGCTCTTCTCCCGGCGCCTCGCGTCCGTGGCCGGGTTGGCGCCTGGTGCGTGTCTTGGGACTAGACAAGGCAGTGGGGAGGGGGCAGAGAGGGATGTTCTCCTCCCTCTGCCTTCCCCAGAAAGAGGGAGCCTTCTTCCTCCATCTGTCTAGTGCAAAAAAAACCAAATCAAAAAGGAAAAAAACCTAAAGAACAACAGAGGAGAGAGAGAGGCTGCAGGGGCATCTCCAGCCCCGGGCGCTGAGCAGTTCTTGGGGCTGCCCCGCCGGCTTTCTCCGGCCCCGGGCCCCCGTGGGAGCTCCCAGCCCTCCAGATGATAAAACTCATCCTTATTAAGCACGCACACCTCGCAGCGTTCCGCCGAGCCGCTAGCACCAGTCATCCTCGTCGGCTTCGTGGTAGTAATTGCGTCCTCGGGCGCCGGGGCCCGAGTTGAGCCCCAGAGTGTAGTGGTACCCATTGGGCACCCGGCGGATTTGGTGCGACTGCGAGGTCAGGGAGGAGACGTAGGAAGTCCTCGAGGAGCGGCCCGAGTTGGTGGCCACGGCCTCCTCGAAGGTGAGCGTGTCCTCGGGCACGGCGCGCTGCGGGCTGTCGCTGGCGTCGCGGTGGCCCAGGTAGGGGTCGGAACCGATGCGGGCCACGGCGGGCGGGGGCGGCTGCTGTTCCCCCCGCAGCAGCGCGTTGTGCTCGGACAGCCCGCGGCTCAGGCGGCCCGGGGAGAACGTGGGGGTTTGGAAAGTGGTGAAGTGCACGGGCGAGGAGTTAGCGGTCTTGTAAGTGATGCTGGGGCGTGGGGTCAGTGGAGTCTGTGGGAGCTGCCTCCGACCCCGGCAGGGGGTACTAGCACCAGATGTCGACAGCAAGGGGCTCCCATTAACTGAACCACTGCCCTACATCAAAATTGGAACAGAGCAAATCAAAAAATAAAAAAAGGGAAACGCCGGACAAACACAAAGGCAGGCAGGTATCAAACAGAAGGAGAAGCAACAGAAGGCGGAGACGAGTCACAAGAGGAAAGAAAAGCAAAAAAAAAGAGAGAGTTTAGACAAGCACAGTCGGGATGGGGAGGCTCTCGAGAGATCATTCAACACGAGATGTGAAGAGCTGGAGAGTTCAAGTCTGGGAGCAGTAGGAACAGAGAGGGGCAGAGCACCGGTAGGACGCAAACTGGCACACGGCTCCAACAGAGGGGACAGTGCCCAAGGGAGGCACCCACAGCATACAGGGCTCGACATGCGCCTTACCTGGCCTGGGAGCAGCTCAAAAACCCGAGTTACTGGGGGTTTTTACAAGTTACTGTTACTTTTTTTACGGTTTAGCTTTGGGGTGGGTTTGTGCAGAACTTCACCCCGCGGTTGTGCGTGTGGGTTTGTGGGAGATGTCCCTGCCCACAGCAGGGGCTGGAACGAGATGAGCTTTAAGGTCCCCTACAAATCAAACCGGTTTAGAATTCCATTAATCTATTTCTGTTGCCAAAACTGGATCATGGGTTATTATTATTATGGACTCTCCATGGAAGGAGAATCTGTCTTTTGTAGGTTGGGAATGAATTATTGGATTAAATAGCCAATGTCTGAAAAAATAACAATCAAAAGCTTTTTGGACAGGCTTTAACAAGTCCCTTTAACAGAAATGTGCTCGCACTCTCCTCCTTCATATTACTCATTTGATTTTGGAGTGGTAGAAGGGTCTGGCAGCTTCCTGGGTTACTAATAATGCCTTGTGAGAGTGAACTAAGCTGCAGTAATTTACACAAATGCCATGAGTGAGAGGAAAGGTCCCCTGTCTTCCCATTTCTGTTTACATTCTCCCAAGGCAGGACATGAGTGCACTGAAGAACCTCTCAGCCTTTCCCAACCCAATGTTTTGAGACCACACTTTCATTTTTAAAGAGCACTTTTTCATTCCTATCAGCATATCAGACTTGTCAAGGCTGTCAGTCACTGCTTGTTCTGCTCTGCCTGGCTCTCCCAGTGCCCAGCAACATTCCCAGCTTATCCCAAGGGTCTGAGCACCTCACAATTACAAAAAAATAAATTTTAGCCTGGAGAAAAGGAGGCTCAGGGAGGACCCTTTTGGTTTCTACAGCTCCCTGACAGAAGTATAGAGCCAGGTGGGTGTTGGGCTCTGCTCCCATGTAAGAGGAAATGGTCTAAAGTTGTGCCAGGGCAGGTTTAGGAACATCAGGAGGACATCAGGAGGAATTCCTTCCTGGAAAGGTTGGTCAGGCATTGGAAGGAGCTCTCCAGGGAGGTTTGGAGCCCTCATCCCTGGAGGTGGCACTGAGGGCTGTGGGCCGGTGACAAGGTGGGATTGGGCACAGCTTGGACTTGAAAGGATTTTTCCAGCCTTAGTGTGAGGCCCCAAGCAGGACCTCAATGGCTTTATCTGCACCTGCCTGACCTTCCTTCCCCTTCCCACCTCCTCTGATTCAAGCAGAACATGGAAAAGGTGCACAAATCGCTGACAGAGCTCAGGGCTGTTTCCCCACCCTGCCTCTCCTCACCTGTCTGTGCGGGCCGTGCTCTGGGCCCCCGTTGGGGGAGGTGGGCCTGCTCTGGTCAGCAGATTTGGGCTGGGCACGGTCCCGGCTGCCGTAGCGGTCACAGGAGAAGAAGCGCTGCTTTTCGGAGGAGGAGGAGGAGTGCTGCTTCCTCTCCTGGGAGCGGCCACGCTCCTGCTTCTTGTCCTTGGAAGACTCTCCAGAATGGGCTACTGAAAGGAGAACATCGGGTCACCAGCGTGCGTGGGGCGGGGAGGTCCTTCCACGCAGGCAGGACCCCAAATCCCACCGGAAAGGAGGGGGACGGGGGACATCCATCTCCTCCCTGACCTCCCAGGGACAAATCCTCGTTGGTGAAGCACTCACCAGCTTGGCCATCAGCCAAGTGATGGGCAGCCCTGTCCAAGGACTTCTGCTTCTTCTCTTTCCGCCGGTGGCAGCGGTGGTGGTGGTGGTGGTGGCCCTGCTCCGGAGGCATCCGCTCCAAGGAATACTCGTAGAGGTGCATGGCGTGAGGGCGCTGCGGGGTCAGCGTGGAGACCGAGCGCTTCATGGGGCTCGTGTCCGGGATGGGCTGCAGGGAACAGGGAGGGACACGGAGCAGGGTGAGGGAAGGCGCCGGGCCCCGCTCGGCTGCCTGGTTCCCAGCATGGGGGGGTTAAACAGCGAGAGAAGGAGGGCAAGGAGGGGAAGGAGAGAAATGGTTAATTGGAGACAACCGGAACGGGCAGCAGGATTTGGGGGATGTGGATTGAGTGTGAAATTTGGAGAGTGACTGTGATCTCCAAGTGCCAATCCACGGGAGCAGAGGCACAGGCAGCACCACACAGCGCACCCAGCGGAGAGCTCAGCAGGGACACGGGGCAGAGCAGCAGCCAAGCGCCTCACAAGGGGAATTCTCCAACACCAGGGGCACCCACAGCTGCTCCAGGGCCTGCATCCCAAAGCAGCTCCCAAGAAGAAAGCACGTAACATCGCTGAGCACCACAAGGAGGGGGAGAAAAATCAGGAATCAGGGTGAGGTATAGGCCAAGCCACCAGGAAATTCCTTCTACCTCCCTGCAGTGAACACAATTCCCATCAAACATTTAAACTTCTCTTGTCCCACCATCACTCCCTGAAGCCCATTGCCTGGGGCAAGGATAGTATCTACATCCTACAATCCCACCAGGACATCTCCAGAAAGGAACACCTGGGTTTGCTATTGCTGTTTTTAAAACATTTGTGTCCAAACATCTGGGCACTGAGAGCTGCAACAGCATTGCTGGACCCTCTCCCTGTGCCAGTGGCAGATCCAGACCCTGCTCTGACAGATCCAGACCCTGCTCCCTTCCCTTTAGATCCAAAACCTTACAAAGGTTCTGCAGAACCCCAGACAGGTGCCCTGCAGGACAGCTCCCCCCACAGCCTCCATCCAGGATAAAGCTCAGAAAACAGGGACAATTCCCACATTTCCTTCTCTGGTTGGCTCTGTGTGGAGACAACTCCTCATCCATCCTCTGGAAGCTTCCCTGGGTCTCTCATTGCATGCCAGCTGTGTGCCAGAGGAGAGATCTCAGAGCACGGCGCTCCAGCTCACAGTGAAATTCAGGAGGTTCCCTGGTTCCTCAGCCTTAAACTTGTTTGAATTCCCAATCCAATAAGTGCCTCCAGCAGCAGCTCTCACAGAACATTTACTCTGCTCACTGTAACCTTTCCTAAGAGCTCTGTATTATTTTTCCTGTCTGCTCTCTTTTGTTTGCTTATCCCAAAATCCAGATCTCTGCCTCCCCGTGCTATTTACCCAAGGCAAAGCCAATAGTTTCACAGCTCTGCTCCTTCTTTTGAGTGGAAAAACCACTCTCCCTCCCCTTGAGGGCAGATTATCCTGGCTGTAAAGGCACGATCTGGGCAGTCAGCCACATTTTGGTGCTTCCCAGGGAAGGGAAGTTGGGATCCTGGTGCTGGAAGGTTTATCAGAGGCACAAGGCTGGGATGAGGGAGCCCAGCAGAGCCTGTGGTGTGGCTCTGGAAGCACCAATTCCATCAGCAGGACCACTTTGTGCTGCTTTTGTGTCACTTCTTGTGGCCCTCATTCATGTGGGCAAGAAATTCTACTTGGGAGCTTCCTCTCTGTCCTTGTTTAGGGCTGAGCCTGCAGCTGGGGGAAAGCAGGGGGGCTGTAAACTGGACAAAAATGGGCAAAAATATGGGAAGTGAAAGTATTTCGCAGTAAAAACACATCCAAGTTTTCAAAATCCATATAGAGGTCACCAGGAAGAAAACAACAGAAAAATCCCCCCACAAAAAAAAACCCCAAAAACTAAACAGGTAGGTTGACAAGATATGAATATTTCTCTTTGCTTCCATGATTATTCCAGGGACAGAAGTGGCACTGACACAAATCAGTGGCAAAGCAATCAATCCCTTTTCCATAAATCCCCTTGTTCTGGGAGGCACAGGCTCCCAAAAAAGCCTCGGGAGACTGCAGGCACCCCTGCAGAGAGCTGCTAATTGCTTCTTCATTACCAACCCGACTGTTTTCGCTGCCTGAATTCCTGAGCAAGGAGGCATGAAAATAAACAAATCAAAAAATAAATAAAAGAGAAGCAAACCACCCACCCAACCCCTGCTACCAGAGCGAGCAGCATGCAACCATGGATCGAGGGAAAAGTGGGAAGAGAGAGAGAGAGCGGCTGCGCCGGCGCGACTCCGGATGAGAGGGGAGAAAAGTCAAGGGTTAAAGGAAGGTTAATTAATTCTGAAGATGAATTTAATAGGATACAATTTAGTGCAAACTACATACTGCCAGGTAACTCCCAGGTGACCGTGCTTTGCTCCTCTGCAAACAATTCGGACAAGGTGAGGGACATTATTGGAAGCAGCCCCACAGTACAGCCAGTGTCAGACATCAGACGTGCAGCAGACACCATGACGACCAGGGAGGGAGGTGATGAGGGCAGGACAGCAAAGAGGGAGGGTGGAAACACAGGAGGAAGGGATTTTTTAAATGAGTGGAACATAAAAAGAGAGAGGCAAACAGAAAGGGAGACGTCCAGGAAAAGAAAGCGTTGCAAATAAGAGTTAGAGAGAACTCAAAAGTTGGGATGGGGCAGAGCAGCGTGTGAGAGGGAGGGAGGGGGGCGTGGAGGGGGAGACACACACAGAGAGGACATCAGTTATTCACCCAAGCTACAACCACTGAACATTGTATTCTTAAATGAGGTTAGATCTGAGATGCTGGGCCTGATTCACAGCCAGGTGTGGCACGAGGGGCAGTGACACCCTGGGGACACAAGCCATGCTTCTGTCAGGGACACTCCTGTGAGTATCTGACTGCCATGGAGAGGAGTTTCCCAAGGGAAGGCTCTGCCAGCTGCACTGCCAAGGAAGGAAAGAGGCTGTGGTCTAAGATAAAGGACAGTTTCTGGGAAGGGAAAAGGCTTTGCTTTGTGGGCTGTTGCTTTTATTAAGCACAATGAGGAATGCTCCTGATAATTCCAAGATTCCCAGAGCTCCCACAAAGGCTGCAGCTTCTGGAGCCAGGTGGGAAATCCTCAGGCTGGCGAGGGGCAGCTCCAGTGTTGGCACAATTCCATCTGTTGGAGCTATTCTGTGTGTGCACAACTCAGGGTTTCACTTTAGGCTGCAGCAGATCCTTCACATTCTGCTCCCCACCACAGAAACAGAGCCCAAGGCCAGGCTGCTCCCTCCTGGCTGTGTGAATCAGGCCCTGGGAATGAGGCAGGACACGAGTGGTGAGATGTTGTGACACAGGAGGCAGGATGGGTGGCTGGGCAGCATTGGGGACAAACAGCAACAAACGTGTGAAATGGCCGAAAATGATCTGGGACATCCTACACACTCAGCAGAGCCCAAAAACTGCTGTGCAAGCCAACTCCAGTGAGGAGATTTCTTTAAAAATGAGTGAAAGCAACAAGGGAAATCCTCAACACCAAATTACTGGCCAAGGTGACAGTACAGGAAAAAACAGGGAACACACTCAGTGTCCCAGGCACAGCTCCCTGTGCCTGCTGCATCCACCCAGGTGTGTCACAGCACATCTCCAGCTTTTTGTAAGGACAGGACACAGGAACACGGCTTGGCTGGCTGGGCACCACACATCTGATGGGAAATGTGCTTTCCAGGAATACAGCCTGCAAATGGCCCTGTCCCCAGATAGTGACCCAGACAGCCAGAGGGATCATCCTGGGCAGATTTCTGCTGCAAGCAGTGGGGAGTAAAACTGGGGACAGTGCTGGGATTGCACAGGAGAGCTGCCACACCCTGCAGGGAAACCTGGCCATCTCCTGTAGGGAATCCCACCACACCCCACAGGGAACCCCAGCCATCTCCTGCAGGGAATCCTGCCCACACCCTGCAGGGAACCCCAGCCATCTCCTGCAGGGAATCCTGACCACACCCTGCAGGGAACCCCAGCCATCTCCTGCAGGGAATCCCGCCACACCCCACAGGGAACCCCTGCCATCCCAGCACAAGGCCTGGATTCCTGTCTCCACCTCCTTTAAAACCAATATTCCCAAGCCACGAGGAGCAGAGAGAAGATGCTGAGATCCTGGCCCTCTCTCAGCCTCCCACTGTCACATCCCCACAGCTCACCTGGGTTTCGGCAGCCAGGCGTGGCATGGAGGCCGCCCGGCCCTGGCTCTCCAGGCCTGGCTGGGGCTCTCCGTTGGCAACTGTGGGGCTGATCTCCTTCATTTCTACCACCTGATCAAAACATGGAACAGTTTCAGCAGCAAGAACAGAAGAGTCAGCTTTGAAGACACCATCAGCTTCTTGAAGTTTGATTTGACTGGGAGGAGATGCTGGTGTGGGAAAGAACAACTGAAGAGCTGTGGAGTGCCTGGGTTACTCTTTCCTCAGCAAGAACATCCTACAAGCAGTGGGATGAGCTTTTCCACCAGCCAGGAGCCCCAGCTGTGATCTGAGAAACCTCTCAGGTCATTCTGACCTGAAACCCCTCATCTGAGCTGGGACAATGGGATTGGGAAATGGGAGGAGAAAGCCTGAGGTAAATCTACGGCAGCAAGACAGAATTCCAGGAAAAGCAAGCCCGGATCAGGCTGTGGGAGCTGCCAGGTTTGGGGTTTCTCCACAATGCTCAAGCAAACAAGAGACACAACAATGTCCCTCAAGGGACAGATCTGCTAATGCAGGTCCCCTGTCTTCACCTGGTTTTTCTAAACACTTTCTAAAACTTCTGAAATTCCACCACGGCTCTAAAATCTCTGGTACCTCACCCTGTCTTCACCTGGGGTTTTTTTAGGTACTTTCTAAGATTTCTTAAATTCTACCACAGCTCTAAAATTTCCTGCATCTCACCCCGTCTTCACCTGCTTTTTCTAAACATTTCCTTACATTTCTGGAGTTCTACCACACCTCTAAAATCTCCTGCATCTCACCCTGTCCTCACCTACTTTTTCTAAACATTTTCTTAAATTTCTCAAGCTCTCCCACAGCTCTAAAATCTGCACCTCCCCCTTCCCACCATTTGCTCACCCTCTCAATGGGGATCTCCTCGGAGTGGCCTCGCTCAAAAGCTGGGCTCCTGGTTTCATAGAACACGTCCTGGGTGCGCTGGGTCCCCCAGGAACTGGACTCCTTGATCCCTCCCTCCGGGGGTGGCCTGTCCAAAGGAAAAGAGGGGAAAAGATTCATCCTTTTGCAAAGATTCTGCTGAATTTGGCAAACCAAACTCGGGCACCCTGTGGGGTTTCAGGTGTGAAAATCAGTTGCAGGATGGGCACAGTGGCTGGTGAAGCTCTGAGCTCCCCTGGGATTTTGCCCTGTAGAGCCCGAAAATCCCATGAGAATGAGGAAATTGAACCAACTATGATTTCTTTTTTTCAGTTGTTAAGGAAAACAACTTCTGCCACTTAATTCCTGACGGACAACAAAGCATTTGGGAGTTCAGGCCGATTCTGTGTGCAGGACCAGCTGGACACTGGTCAAACACCTCAACCATGCTGATGTTCCACCCTTCACCAGCTGTCCAGTCTGGTGTTGGTTTCCCCATCAGGATTATTTAGGATGTTTAAACCTCAGCTGTCACTAAAAATCCATAGTGCTCCTGATCCGGAGGAAAATCACCTGGAGAGCAGGAAATAGAGCATTGATTAGGGATCACTGTCACTAGGACTGTTTGGAAAGCTCTCCATGAAGGGATAATTTTCCCAAAGAGACAAATCGTGTTGTGGCAAGCACTTGCTGTTACCCAGTGAATTTATTCCCAAGGATCTTTGGCCTCCCAAAAACTCACTGCTGGGATGGGTTTGCTCAGTTGTTTTGCAGCAGTCCCAAACTCCTGCGAGCACACAGGAATGGGAAGCTCTCCAGTGAGGATTCATGAAGGAAACACCGAGATCCCAACGCCACCAGCACAGGGATAACCGCGGTGGGAGCAGAGCCACCGGTGGGAATTGTCCCAGCCGCGGTGAGAAGGCGCCGCTGGTGCCACCAGAGCCACTGGAGCAGCAGCGGTGGCTGGGGTGACCCCCAAGGGGTGGTGGCTCTGCAGGGGGGTCAGGGATACTCACAGGGCTCCCCCGTTGTTGAGGGAGGCCGAGCTCTTCTGGCGCAGGAAGGCCTTGGCGTTGTTGAAGGCCGCGGGCTGAGTTTGCTCCAGGGTGGCCTTCAAGGGGTGGAAGAGGGACACAGGTCCGGGCTGCCAAGCACAAGGGAGGGTTGTCAGAGCTGGCAGGGGCTGCAGGGCTTTTCCCAGGCCGTGGAAAGTCCACTTTGCCACCCTGGGACTGCAGAAAGGCCACCCCAGACTGGGCACAGCTCTGAGGGACACCTGGTACAAATCAGTACAAAGCTTCCATTCCCATTCCCTCTGAATGCTCTCCCAAGTCCTGCTGCAATCCCCTGTCACCCTGAAAATTAAACCTTCTGGTTTTGTTTTCATAATTGTAGCTGCTTTCCCAGGAAAATAACTGCAAACATGGCTTATGCATTTAGAATGCTTATGCATTCCTTCTAAGAAATGCCTTGTGATGGATGTTTCGCATGGCCAGTGTGATTGGGAAGGTGGTAACTTAATTATCCAATCCCTGGTCATTGGCAAGAATTTATAAATACCAGAGTTAAGAAATTAAGTCACGAGTTTTTGTTCTAACACTGATGGTAGTAGTGTGAATCATTTTGTGTCCTCTAGTGACAATCCCCACTCCCTCTGAATGTTCTCCCAAGTCCTGTTTCCATTCCCATTCCCTCTGAATGTTCTCCCAAGTCCTGTTTCCATTCCCATTCCCTCTGAATGTTCTCCCAAGTCCTGTTTCCATTCCCATTCCCTCTGAATGCTCTCTCAAGTCCTGTTTCCATTCCCATTCCCTCTGAAAGCTCTCCCAAGTCACCAGGGCACATCAGGGAATTCCCCCAGGGCCGTGGCCAGAGGGGCTGTGCAATTCCAATGTCCCTGGATGGATCTGGTGGAGCCATCCACGTGTGGGACAGATCTCCACCCCATGCTGGAGATCAGCTGGATGCTCATCCTAAAAACAGCAGGTGTTTGTTCTGCTGGAAAGAATTGGGCTTTCAATGCCAGCTGAGTGAAAATATTTTCTAGAATTTGTAAAAACCCTTCAAACTTATCAACAACTTTGAATAATTCCTATTTTCAAAAATAACTTAAGCCTTCCATAGCCAAACTAGCAGCAGCTGTCAATAATTCTTTGGTCTCCCAAGGAAATCTTTTGGTGTTCCCCCAGGCCATTTTTGAACACAGGATTTAGACTTTCAAAGATCAGTTGTCATTTTTTTGGAAAAGATCTTTCTGTACTGGAAAAGGCAACTAAAATTATTTTTTACGATATTTTTTTGAGAGAGACTTTCAGGAGAGATTTCCATTTTTGAGCCAGCATTTTTAAACCCTGCCTGGAGGAACAGCCAGATCTTCTGGATGAATCCTGCTGATGGTTCTTGTTAAAGCCACCCAAGAGGGAGGATGGAAAGATCCCTTTTTGTACCTGGCACAGGCCCCCGGGGGGCTGGACTTGCTCTCTGCTGTTCTTATTCTGCTTGTAGAAGTCAAATATCATCAGGGCTGCGTAGACCTTCCCCACAGTCATTTCATCAGCTGCCAGAGCACGGGGAAAACACGGCAGAGACGTTCCAAGGATGAGGAGAAGACAGGGATAACAGCAAATGGGTGTGAAAAACAGGGAGAGGGAGGAGGCAACATGAGAATAATGAGGCAAAACAGACACAGAAAAGTAGGGGAAAGGAAAAAAAAAATAGAAAATGTTACAAAAGATTCTTCAACTCTTTGCCTGTCAATGCCTTGCCTTGTTTTGGAGCTGCCTGTGGCAAACACAGGGATTGTGTAGAAAAACCCAGGCAGGAAAATTCAGTGGCACTGTCAGCATTGCTAGGAGAATTCCTAAATTCATCCCAGACCCACAGCCAGCCACCAGCCTCACTCCTGCTTCTCTGAATTACAGGGAATGGGCTACAATGGCAATATACATTTAAGGAATATTTCATTTTTCCAGATGGTTTTTGGCATCCTCAGAGCCACGGGACAGCCCTTCCCTGCCCAGCACTGGAGCACTCACCATGGAAAAAAGAACTGGAGCAGCAGGTATATAGGAATCCAGAAAGGAGGGGAAGACTTCAAGAGTCACTACCCACTGATTTGCACCTCCTCAGCTCCCTCATTTTTCTTAATTAACAATGCCTTTATTACTCTACACCGCTTCTCATTAGTCAGGAATTCAAAGCTAATCAAGATAACAGCAAACTTCCCATTTTCTCAGCACCTTTGCCCAGGACATCACCAAGTCAGGCCTTTAACCCCCAAACATCTCACATCTGGTTCTCAAAGTCCTCAGCAAGCTTTAATTCTTCTTCTCCCCATTTTTTCTGGAGCTCAAATGGCAGAAATTGTTCTCCCACCCTGCAAAGCCCAGGCTGGAGGATGGCAGAGCTGGGGAAAAGCTCTGCAAGAGGCCACACATGGCACTGGGCACTGTTTGGGATTTGGGATTTTCCAATGCACAGGAAATTGCAGCACACTGAAGTCCAGGCCTAGAGGTGAGCTCAGCTTCCCCAAGCCCTGTGTGGCAGAGCCAGGGTAGCACAGAGGCTGCCAAGGAGGTCAGCTGCCCTCAGTGGCCTTGCTGCATCCTCCAGGTGACCCTGATGGCACTTGGGACAGAGCAGAACCCTCATCTGGGGTTCCTGGGTGGCTGGGATGGACCCAGTGCTTGAAGCACTTACGTTTGTGAGGAGGCACCAGCAAATCCAGAGTCTTCTGGGACAGGTTGGGCCAGACCAGCGAGATCTCCTTCCTCAGCTCAGCATCGCACTGGTGCTGCTTCACACCTCCTGCAGCCAGGGAGGGAGAGGAGTGAAACCCTGCCCTGGCAGCACATCCTGCTGCTTGCACCCCCTCTTCCCAGTCCTTGGGAAGGGCACAAGGAATCCATCAGTTCATCCTCCCTGCCCAGGGAATCCATCAGTTCTCCGTGGTGTGAGCGCATGAATGCAGCAGGATCATCCTTGCCTCGCCCTGGGGATCCTGAGCAGTGACTGGCACTGAAATTGCAGCTCAGACTTGCTCCCTATAGCTGCAGGCGCCTCTTCCTTTGGGGAGTGCCCATGGAGGCAGCAGCACCTCCCAGCTGGGATGCAAAGGATCCCACAATCCCAGGCTTGGGTTGGAAAAGACCTTCAAGATCCTCTAACCCAACCTCCTCTGCCAGGGTCAGGTTCACCCTGCACTGATGATGACAAACCCTCCTCCACCAACTGATCCCAAAATCCCTGGCAATGTCACCCAAGCACAGAGCTCTGCCCCAGCAGCTAAGGCAGAGCAGAGCCCAGCCCAGCAGCTCTGGTTCCAAGGGCCAAAGCCAGGCCTAAACGCACTGGTGGAAAGTGATTAAAGGCTGGGTGAGCCCCAGGCCAGCTCCCAGCTGAATTCCCCACGCAGCAGGCAATTAAGGAGTTCATCTGAATGACAGAGATTATTTTTCTGAGAGCAGAGTGAGGGGAGGAGGCTCTGGGTACTCTGTTACACCGAGGTTTGAACTCCCACACGGGAACTCATTAGGGAGGTTTATTAAGGGCCTGTTAAGCCCACTAAAGACTCAATTAAATGTAGCACATGAAACCTATTCAAAGGGAGCTCATAACAACAAAACAGGTCAGAACCTCACACCCCAGAGCAGAGCTAAACCACAGAAATAATCCATGGTATCAGCTGAGCTCTCCTCTGGCTCCCTTCCAGTTTTCAAAAGGGTGGGGGGAAGTTTTTCCCGTTGAAAAAGGCTGACAGGTAACCAGAAACTGAAAATTAAACAAACTCTCAGCATCCTTATCTTGCAGTTATTCCTGGAATAAGGTGCTGGTTCTTAAAGTCACAGGAAGTGCTAAAAGCATCTGTAAAAACGAGTGTCTGATCCTTGTCTTGGTCCCACTCCTTGGGGGAGCCCCAGGCACCTCAAAATTTTGTCTTCTCCCAGCAATGGCTCCCTAAAGCCCCAAAGATAAAGTTTAAGCAGCACAGGAGGCAGGAGATGAAGTCAGACATTTGCACTGGCCTAAAACTGCTTAGGAAAGCACAAGAGCCTAACCCTGCCTTGCCCCCTGCTCCTGAGAGTTGTTACCTCCTGTTAACTTTTAAATGAGGTGTAAGAGTGCTCAGGCCAGGCTTGCCTTGACTGTGGCCCCAGCCAGGCTGATGAAATGGGGCAACGACCCAGAGAAAAGGCCGATGCATTTTATTACACTGCAGAGCTTAATTGGGAGGCGAGTAAACGCCTGATTAACCACTTCAATAATTACATTTTATCTCAAGGCAGAAGGTGCTTCAGGGCACCTGCAGCTCCTGCCTCGCTGCCAGCCCGGAGCAGTTGGGGAGGAAAGGCTGGAATAGCTCAGAACAGAGGTGTGGAAACTCATTTCTGGATCAGAGCAAGGAGAACACGGCCTGGGCTTCTCCTCCCAGGGTTCTCAGCTGTCACAGCAAGGTTTCCCACTTTCCCACAATTTCATTGCCACCCCAAAGGCAAAGAATGCTCAGGACCCCTCTGTCCCCTCCCCAAGCTCCCTTGGCCATGGGAAGGCAAAGGGAGCTTGGGATTCCCACCTGGGGCAGAATTCCCACAGTTTTGGGAGGACACCAAGCCCACAGATTTCACTGAATACTCTGAGCTGGATGGGACCCACAGGGATTAAGTCAAACTCTCCAGTGAATGGCCCATGCAGGGATCAAATCTGTGCTCTTGGAATTCCTGGCACCTTGCTCTGACCAACCGAGCTTGGGTTGGGGTCAGGAGCTGGGCTTTGAGCCAGTGTGCTCTCAGAAAACTCCAATTTTCTCCTGATTTTCTGGAGCTCAGATGGCAGAAAATGCTCTCCCATCCTGCAAGGCACAGGCTGGAGGCTGACAAAGCTGAGGAAAAGCTCTGGAAGAGGCCAGGCAGGACATTTGTCTCTTATTGGTGCCGTTTTGGGTTTTTTTCCCACATACAGGAAATCTGCAGCATAATGAAATCCACACCTAGAGAAGACTTCAGCATCCCAAATCCCTGTGGGACCGTGCCACATCACAGGGAATTCCAAGGAGCTGAGCTTCACTTGGTGTCTTTGCTGATCTCCAGGTGACCCAGGCACCCCCCAGGTGCCCACCCCTCTCACCTGAGGCCAGTTTGATCTCCAGGGCCGTGCGGATCAGGGCCATCAGCGTGGAGGTGAAGTGCACGGTTAAATCCTCGGGAGAGATGGGCATGTTCATCCTCACCAGGCGCTGGGGACAGACAGGGCTGGCTGTCAGTGGGGACCAGGAGTCCTCCCCCCACCCTCACCTGCCCCTCTCTGAACCCCCAAAATATCCAGAACACAAACAGGAAGGAACTTTTTGTGTGCTGAGCTGGAATTCTTCTGCACGTGGATGCCAGCTCCTGTCCAGGAGCGGCTTTGGGGTAGAACTTCAGTGGTTTAATGAGTGATTTGCCAGCACTGCACTGCAATCCTACAGAGTTCTCCCAAAAGCAGCCAGGTGAGAGGCTCTCATCCCATTTCCTGACTGTCTCCAGTGGTGTCTGGAGCATCCAGACACGTGGTTTGTACCTGTCCCACCTGCCAAAACAACCTGCTGAGGAGATAGAAACCATCAATCCCCTTCCTCCACCCTTTCCTACACCAGATGGCCTCACCAAATCCTTCACCTAAATCCTAAAACCAGACAGAACGGGGCCTGGCACCACTGACTGAAGATGATGGAAGGTTTGCATCTGCCACCCGAGGCTGGGGCATGGAGACTTGGCCAGGTTTTCCATCTCTGGGACAACCTCCCTGCTTAGAGAATCTTCCATCCTCAACTTCCCACAGGTATGGACTGAGCTACCTGAGAATCCCAGACTGGTTTGAGTTGGAAAAGACCTTAAAAATCATCTCATTCCACCCCCTGCCATGGGCAGGGCCACCTTTCCCTGTCCCAGGTCACTCCAAGCTCCATCCAACCCTGCCCTGGACACTTCCATACCCTCAGAGAGGACAGACCCCAACCCTGGCACCTTCTGCCAGCCCAGGTTGGGGGGACATTTGTTGGTGTTGATATGAGCAAAGGGCACAAAGTGCTGGTCCGGGGTAAAATCTGCTCACAGGAGCTGCAATCTCCTTGTTAATCGTAATAATAATAATAATAAAGTTATTATAATTATAATAATATAATAATAAAAATAAATAATATAATATAAATACAATACAAATAATATAATAATTATTCAAATAATTATATAATAATCCTTGTTGTTCTATTTACACTTTTTTGATCTATTTACACATTTTTTGATCTATTTACACATTTTCAGCTCTCACTGCATCCTGCAGGGACAAGAGACCACTGTAACAACGTCCCTGTCACCTGAAGTCTGGGACAAACCACTGTGATCTCCCTCACAGCATGTCCAGAGGTTATTCCGTGTCTCAGGGATGGCAAAATCAAAGTCCAGCCTTTCCTCTCCTCTCTGGCAGTGACAGTATCAAGTGCTGGCGACACCACCGGCTTTTTTCTGTTCACTCATTTCAAATGGAGCAGGATTTAATTCTGATTCTGCCCTCAGCACACAAAAAGCTACAAAAAAACCATCAATGAGAGCCCGTAGTTAGCAACCACAGAGTCCCAGAATGCCACTGGAGTGGGAGTTAAGGGATGCAGAGAGAAAGAAGATGCATGGAAGTGAAGAACAGGCAAATGAGGAATAAATTCCCCACAGGAGAGCTCTATCCTCACATAAACCACCATCAAAAACCACTTTGTGGCTGGCACATCTCAGGTGTCCCCAGCTGATTTTCCAGGCTGAATTCCCAAAGGATACAGATGCAGGACATGGGCCACCCACAGCTGTACACAGAACTGCTTTCCTCCCCAGTTTTAGCCAGGGACAGAGGATTTAGGGGAAGATTTTCCAAGGGGATTCCCACTTTTGGAAGTTTGGCTGAGCATTTTTTGCTGTTTCTTGTGCCTGAAGTTGTGCTTCAAGGCTGTGTGAGAGCAGTGGCTCATGGTTTGAAACGGGATAAAAAAATCTGAGAGGGAGAGGGAAAAGAGGAAGAAGGGAAAAGGGGAAAGAGGAAGGGAAAAAGGGAAAAGTGGAAAGGGGAGAGAGGAAGGGAAAAGTGGAAGGAGAAGAAGAGGAAAGGGGATGGGAAAAGGAAACCCAAATGAAGCAACACCCAACCAGAAAATCCTAACAACAACAAAAATAACTGAACCAAAAGAAAGAGAAAAAAAAAACAATTCTAATTTGGATAATTCCACATCTTTCTGGAGCCCAGAAGGGAATTTTAGGAGCCTGCTGCTCCTTCCCTGCTCCGATAAAGAGCGTGCAGCACTTGGGATGCGCTGGGAATCGCCAGCCACATCCATGGGGCACTCGGGTAAAATAATAACGGGCAGCAGGGGGGAAAAAAGAGGAGAAATCCTTCCCGAATGACCTGGCAGGAAAGGACTGCCAGCCCTGCCCCTGCCCTCCGGGGAGGATGAGGAAGAGCAGCCGGCAGCAGGTGGAGGATCCCTCCCGCAGCCCCCGCGATTAATTAGGCGGATTTGGAGCTCATTAATGCTTCTGCAGGAGAGGGCCCCAGAGGCAGGAGCCTCGCCGTTGTCTCCGGAGTCTCCTAATTAACGGGGTGCTGATAATGAGGGTTTGATTAGAAGCGGGGTCGGAGGCAGCGCTCGGTGCGCGGGGTCCGGGCGCGGTCAGGAGGCGGCCCCGGCGCGGCTTTAAATGCCAATTAACAGAGGCAGCGCTAATGAGGGACCGAATCTCTGTGACAGGAATAAATTCCCTTTCGGTTTTGCTCCGGAGGTCCTTGGGCAGTGGCCCAAAAGGCAGGGAAAGTGCTGGAGGAATAGGGGGAAAATTGATGCCGGGATCAGAGGTGGCTTGCAGGCTCCAGGCTGACCCAGGAAAAGCTGCTGCACCCTGAATCCTCTTCCCTGGCACATCTATCCAGAGGGAGCAGGAGAAGGAGCACCCAGTGCCTGGAAAACTACTGGCACCCCGATGGATCTGAATTATTAAGAGCCCCTGGGACAGGAACTGCTCTGGGAATGATCCCCAGACGGGAATAAATTGGGACAGTGGAGCACTGCTGTGGGAAATGAGGTCGAGTTTGGTGAATAAATTATTTGCTATGAATAATTCACCCTGACCTAGCTGGAATGATTCTACTCTGGTTTAATTCTGCTGGTTTTGGAGAGGCTCCCCGTGGCTTTCACCCCTCTCGCTGCATCCTGGTGGAGCAGCCCAGCTCTGAGATCATCCCGGGAATCACAGAATCCCAGGATGGGTTGGGTTGGAAGGGTCCTCAAAGTCCATCCAGTCCCACCCTCTGCCACGGGCAAGGACAGTGAGCAAATCCCAAGACACCAGAGTGAAGTCAAAGAGGTTTTCTTCCCTCTTTTCTTCTGATGGGATTGAAAAGACTAAAATTTATGGAATCACAGAATCTTTTAGGATGGAGAAGACCTCCGAGATCATCAAGTCCAAACACTGATCCAGCACTGCAAAGCTACCACTGACCCAAGTCCCCAAGTGCCACATCCACATCTGCAGGGTTTTAAATCCCTCCAGGGATGGTGATTCCCTGGGCAGCCTCTTCCAGGGCCTAAAAACTCTTTTTGTGAACAAATTCTTCCTGATATCCAATCTAAACCTCCCCTGGCCCAGCCTGAGCTGTTCCCTCTCCTCCTGTCCCTGTTCCCTGGGAGCAGAGAGCCCCTTCCCAGCTCCCTCAGCAATTCTCCAGCCCCTTCCCAGCTCCATTCCCTGCCCTGGACACATTCCAGCCCCTCAATGTCCTTCTCACTGTGAGTGGCCCAGAACTGAACAGAGGAATTTGGGTTTTTCCAGCCTCTTTCCCCCGACCCAGTGCAGGATAGAGCTCCCTGGTGCCCGAGCAGCGCATCCCGAGGATCCCATGCACCTCTGGGAAGCAGCAAAGCCACGCACACGGATCTGCAGAGGCTGGTCAGGCTGACCAAGGAGAACAGTTGAGAAAGGGGAACCAGAAAACAGCAGAAAGGAAGGACAACAGCCAAGGAGGCTGCAAAGAGGGGAAAATCCAAACAAAAACCAATGTGGACGTGCTGAGAAGGCAACAAAGACATGGGGAAAACACACAAAACCTCTGAAGAGGACTGGGGAAAGTAGACACGGAAAGAAAAACGGGGGATATGTGGGGCAAAAGAGCTTTTGCTGGACAGAACACTCAGGGGTTTTAAAAATCAGAGGGAGAGGGCAAAGATAGGGCAGAGACAAAGCCCTGGCTGCTGTTGGCACTGACTGAGCTCCACCTGCAGGAGCAGGGGGTCCCTCTCCAGGCTCTGGGGCACGGGTCAGTGCCCAGGGGGATCTCAGCACCCTCCTGGGTGGGAGTGGAGGTGACATGAGTCACCCTGGAAATGGAAATCTCCAAACACGCAGAGAGTTTTTGGGAGGGCGGCTTGGCCTTAAGTGGGTCTGCTCCATTTCCATCTGAGCCAAATAAACAGTGAGGTGGAGTGATTTCTCCATCTCCCTGTCCTAATGTTTTCTGTTTGAGTCATTTCTTCCATGAGGGTGTTTAAGGAGCCCTTCTGGTGTTGTCTCTGTTTAATTGCTTGCTCACTCCTACAGTACTGCCTACTCTAATTACTCCAGTCTAATTAAGAGGAGGAAAAAAACAACATTCTACTGAAGGGTTAAGGAGACAAAGAGCCCCAGGAAGAAAAATGGGGATCTAATGGGGGGTAATTTGCTCATTAGCATGGTCCCTCCCCAAATAAACCTAAATGGAAGCAGAATGAGAGAAAAGAGAGACAGAAACGTCCAGAAGAACAACACCAACGCCACAGAAACCCCACTGCAGCCACGGCACAAAAAGCTGGTGCTTGGGCAGGAGTTCCTGGGGGAGGTTTTCTACCTTATAGGCAACACGAGCTGGGCATTTCTTCCCAAGGCCTAGAGGTGGGGACATGTGTCTCAGCATCTCATACATGTCTGTGTAACTGATGCGCCCGCTGGGACCACAGGGATGGAGGCAAAAGCACCAGGACACAGAAATCCCATCGGATTGAGGCAGGGAAAACGGGGAAGGGGTGGGGGAAAAGGCAACACAATGGAGCAAATGAAAAGGAGGAGAGAGAGAAGGGAAAGCAGACAAGAAAACAGAGATCTGGTTAATCAGATTTCTCCAGGAAACAAAACCAAACTCAAGAGGTGGGGCAGGAGAAAGGTGGCTCCGCTTCCGTTGCTGTGTTTCGGCCCAGGTGTCTCCTCCTCCTGCAGGGACGGCCCGTGGCCCTGGGAATGATTGATGTCCCCTGGGGATGGCTGATGTCCCCTGGGGATGGCTGATGTCCCCTGGGGAATGCTCGATGTCCCCCAAGGGAGAAGGGGTGGCAGGGCTGGCTGTGGCTGGCTCTTGGCGGGGTGGGGGATGAGGGTTCCCCCATCACCCCCCAAACCAGTCAGGTCACCACGCCAGGGAGAGCTGGGAGGCAGAGTTATGGGACAGGGCTGGGAGAACACATCCAGCGTTCCTGCCAGGGAGCAGCACTTTGGGTTGGGGTGATGGGATAAGGGAGAAGCCAATCGTGGGGGATTGAGGGATGTGCTGGGATTGCTCCCACTCCCAGCTGGGATTCTGCAAATTCCAGCAAAAGCAGGGCCCAGCCCTGGCAGGAGCTGTTCCTCCCTCACTTTTGGTGGGGCTTGTTTTTCACCAAGCCAACCTCAACTGGGAACTGCAGAGGTTTGGGAGAAGTCCCTCAGAGCAGCCCATTGCTGAGGGCACCTCCCTTCAGCAGCAGGATAAATCCTGGCCTGAAAAACAGGGGGTGCAAAACAGCAGGAAATTCTTGCTTCACCCTTTTGTGCCTGTTAGAACTGGGAACACAACTGTGATGATTCCTTTTGTTTTCCCAACCAACTGCCTGCTTCTGCAATGTGCAAATCTCTGCTACCTGCCATCTGAGGAGACCCAGGGATGTTATTAAAGTTTAACCCCTGGAAAAGCAGGAAAAGCTAAGCACTCATTTAAACCCCTTTTCTGAGCAGGAACCTTCCCACCAGCCCAATGCCCTGACACAGATCTCAGTTCCTATGGAAAGCTTTGATGGAGGAGGAGGAGAGAACTCACCCAGCCCAAAACATCTATTCCCGTCCCTGGGAACTGCTGCAGATAAAATCCCACCCAGCTTTCCCAGCTCAGAGCTGATTTAGAGGCTGCTGAGAGACACAGATGGGCACTGGAGCCAATGTCCTGCCCTGGTTCCTTCCTGCTCCTGGGCTGGGGTGTGGGGTCTCCTCTTCCTCTGCGGAGCTTCTGAGCTCAGTCAGGTGTGGGAAACTCCTGGGCTGGAGTGCAGAAGAAAAGGGAGCTCTGGACTGGCTGCTTCCAGCCTTCTTCATCCTCTGATTTCCAAGGAATTCCCTGCCTGGAGCTGGGTCCCCACTGAAGCCCATCCCATGCTGATTTCTCAGCAAGTTCTGTCCCAAATCCCCCAGCTGGGCTCCCAAGCACAGGGAACTCTCCCTGTGCCATGTGCAGGAGCTTTCCCTGGGCGTCCACCACAACTCAGAGACATCATTTAACCCCCAGGCCTCTGGCTTTGAGCTCATCCCTCATCCCTGCCCAGATCCTATGGTTTTCCAGCTCAGGAAAGGACGAGCTGATCACTCAACAATGCTCCAAAGCCAAACCAAATCTGCTGCTCCCTGGAAACCTTGGGATGCCATTTCTCCCTGGAATATATTGGGACTCTGGGATGCTTTTCCCCAGCATTTCCCACCTGGAGCTGGCAGGATGGAAGCTGGAGGTTCCCTGTCCCATAAAAGTGCCTGTTCCCAGGCAGCTGGGGTGTGGGAGGAGACAGGGAAGGGATGCATGGAGGAGAAAGGAGGCAGTCAGTCAATCATTCCTTTTTTCAGGCAAGGGATTGGTTATGTTACAATTTCTTTTCTCTACTGGTTGCATTTGCACTCGGGGGAGGGAAGAGGGGATAAAAAGAAACAGAACCAGGGCTAGAGATGCTGGAGGGATCTCTGAAATTCCAAACCTTGTAGGCCACCCTATGAGGGCACTTCTTTCCTAAGCCCAGGGGTGGAGCAATTACACGTAACAAATTGTACATATCCTTATAATGAATGCGGCAACTGGAAAGGAAACACCAGAGGTTATGATGGCAAAATCCAACAGAAATCAGCTTTTCCCCAGGAAAAAGGGACAAATCAGCTTTCCCCAAGCAAACAGGACAAGTTGGAAGGGCAAAACACGCTGAAAAGAAAGGTTAGTCTGGAAAGGAAGGAGCTGCTTTAACACAGAGGGAACTTCCAACTGCTCACCCAGTGTTAAATCCTTGGATTTTCCTCTGGGAAACCTTCAGTGCCATCTGCAAATCTTCCCAAACACTTGGTTTCATTTCCCACTCATGTTTTGATTCCCTGTGCCTCAGCATCAAGCTCCAGACTCTGCTGCCCAACACCCAGAGTCTGCAGGCCACAAAGAGCCTCTTTAATGGATATTCCTGGGATTTTATTACAACTCCTCAATGGATTATTCCCAAATTAGCTGCTTCAGAACCTTGGGAACCTTTCCCTGCCACTGTCACCTCCTAATAACCCCAGCAGGGCCATTCCTGAGCAATGAGGAATTTGCTGGAGGAGCAGAAAGTGTCACCTCCAGAGCCGTGTTGGGCACTGGCACGGGGAAAATCCAGGTTCAGTAGCAGAAGGAGAAATCAGACAGCTCCTGGAAGCTTTATGGTCACTCTCATTAACTCCCAACAATCATTCCAGCCAATTAAACAGCAGGATTATATTTATCAATCTTATTTTTGTGTGGAGGTTTTAGTCCCGCTTCTGAAAATGTGATTTCAGCGGAACTATTCACACTCAATAACTTCCCAGCAGAGCGAAAAGGGAACAGAGTTAGAGAAAAAAAATCCAACAAAACAACAAAACAACCGAATTAGCATCTTACTATCTGACTTTTTCTGCATTAGCAGCTCTGGGAGTGGAAAGGTTTGGCCCCTGAGTGACTCAGAGTTAATAGAGCGAGAAATCTTCCTGAAAACTCAGTGCTGGTGCCTCTTCTGGGTGGAAAGTTCCTGAATATAAACATTCAAAATCCACATTGATCCCGTTTTTTTTTTCCCCTTGCAGGTGTGCTCCTCCTCCCACGGATGCAGAGCCAAGGTTGCTTTTTTTAAGGAGCAACCAGGCACTCCCGAGTTTTCAGCCTCATTGAGATTTTCTAGTGGGAAGAGACAGGATTGGCTTGGCAAAAGGGAAAAAGAAAAGCTATTTATGCCTGCTAAATCCCCACAAAGGATTTGCTGTGTCACAGAGCTCGTGGGGATGAAAATCTGCCTGGAGATTACAAACTGGTAGTAGCTGTGGAGTAAATATTCAGGTTGGTAGTAGGGGGGTGGCTTGGAGCAGTTTAAATCCCCCACAGTTCAGAGAAATGCAGGTTTTTAGAACAAGTTTCCATTTAAAATTAGGCTAAATCATTTAAAGTGAGATTTTAAAGCAGTTTAATCGCATTCTAGCAGGGAGTTTGAGTTGTTGGTTATCCAAATATTGCCTGCCTCTGTCTCTGCTGAAGGGAAACAAAAAAGAAAGGAAAGATTGGAGGAGCTGGAGGCATCACAAATCCAGAGATTCATGGCACAGGAACTAAGGGGAGGAAAAAAGGATCCAAAATTAGGTGAGCTTTAGATTAACAAAGAGTCTCCCAACAATTCCCAAATAAAATATCAAGGGAATTACTGGGACCTGGCACAGAGCATCCAGAAATGAGAATAATCCCGTCACCAGGGCTGTGGTGCAGCAATACAGAAAAGCAATTTATTAAATTCTAGAAGTGGCAGGGCCATTCCCTCAATTCAAAAAAAATTCCTTAATTTTTCCTTAAAATTCCAATCTGTGTTGCTGCTCCACTGCCTGAGCCCAGTTTGCAGGTCTCCCTGTGTCTTGGAAGAAATAAAATGAAGAAATAAACTCCTAAAATAAACATCTCATTGTCCAGTGTGTGAAAACCATCCCCTCCATTAACCCACTCATAAATCAGGAATATTTTATCAGAGAATTAAATAGAATATAAGAATCAAACACTTCCAAACTTTGGCCAGTTTCATTTTATCCTGATTATTTTACACATCTTATAACCTCAGCTGCAACTCCAGAGCTAAATATTACTCCAAAGGCCAAAATTCCCACGTAGAGTTTGATGTCACTACAAGGAGGCTTCCAGGAGAAAAACGTTGTGTTTAATGAGGAAAGGCTGTTTCCAAAAACCCCATGTTGTCAGGAAATCATTATTTCATCATTGCCTCGGGGGTGGGATGATGGAAGCAGGACCTGCCTCAGATGCAGCCCAGGCTCTCTGCACAGCATTTGGGAAACCACCAAGGTGGATCTAACAGCCAGAGATTTGTGGATTTTCGTCTCCGGATGGGATGCAGGAACCAAAAGCTCCTTTTGGAAGTGCTAAATAGCTTTTCTCCACGGCTATTTAGCCAGGCTCATTGGAATTGAGGCTGTTAATCTGTTCAGTTTTGGCCCTGCTTTGCTTTCAGGGGTTGCTGGGTGTGCGTGAAGGAAACGCCCTTGCAGTGACACCAGGTTTGTTCCTCTCCAGCGCTCAGGGAATTGCAGCATTTAACAGCGATGATACCTCAAATCCTGGAGTTGTTCCCGTTAAAACAGGCTCTGAGCGTGTCCTGGTGCAGCATTACAGCTGCAGTGTCCTTCTGTCCCACCCCAGTGTCCTTCTGTCCCATCCTGGTGTCCTTCTGTCCCATCCTGGTGTCCTTCTGTCCCATCCCAGTGTCCTCCTGTCCCACCCCAGTGTCCTCCTGTCGTATCGCAATGTCCTCCTGTCTCATCCTGGTGTCCTCCTGTCCTATCCTGGTGTCCTGTCCTGTCCCAGTGTCCTCCTGTCCTATCCCAGTGTCCCCCAGTCCCACCCCAGTGTCCTCCTGTCCCACCCTGGTGTCCTATCCCACCCCAGTGTCCCCCTGTCCCCCCCTGCTGTCCCAGCACGTACCAGGCTGCGGGGTCGTACTCAGCCCACACCCGGACAAACTCGTCCAGGTGATGCGGCCCCAGGATGGAGGAATCCCGGGTCAGGTACTCAAAATTGTCCATGATGACAGCCACAAACAGGTTCAGCATCTGCAGGGATGGGGTCAGGGAGGGAAAGGGAAAGGGAGAGGGGAATGGAGAAGGGAAGGGAAAAGGAAAATGGGAAGGGAAAAAGAGGAAGGTGAGAGGAATGACAGATTCGTCTTTGCAAGCTCTGGGTCTGCTGGTAAATAAAACCAGCACTGAGAGATAAAAGAAACCATGGGATGGATTCCACTGATTGATGAATGGAAAAAAAGATATTTGCCTTTCCAAACAAACTGTAGGTTTGTTGGTAAATGAAACTGGATATTGAAATGGGGAAACACCATAAATTCCATAAGAATCAAAAATGAAGAGGGAGGGTTTTACATTAGAGGGGCATCTCAGGTATCAGGCATTCCGGGAAGTCTGTACCTCTCAAGTACCTCAGGCAATGGGAAAGAGAGAGGGAAATTGGGATAAAAAGGAGGCTGTGCCCTCCAAAAAATTGGAGAGACCCCAGGGGAATGTCCCATGGCCTTTCCCTTTATTCCAATAAAGTCACAGGACTACCTGCAGCTGGAACTGGGGATTTAACCCTCAATGTGCCAATGGACCAAACTTATAAAAGTGTGAAACCCGTGAGCCACTGCCCATTTTGGGTGCAGCCCCTGGGGGGGCTTTGACTGCCCAAAATGTCCCTGAAGGCCCCTCAATAAATAGAACTGCTTTTTATTCCCTTAATTCTGTCTGGCCTTTGTTTTAAGGCAGCCCCAAAAGGCATCAGCACCTCATAAAGCTCAGCCCCTCAATGGCCACAGGCACAAACCAAACCCAGCAGCTCTGAGTTTTCATGTATAAAGCTTTTCTGGCAGAAAAAAAAATTTAAAAAGTGATTTTTGCATTTGTTTGGCAAACAAATGATGATCCTTGTGGGTCACTTCCACCTCAGCAGATCCTGGGATTCTGTGAAATGAGTGTGATGCTCCCAGGACTCAGACATTGTCCCCCTGCCCTCCCCAGTGCCCCTCTTCAAAGGGATGGTATAAATCAAGACAAACCCGATTAATGCTTAATTCCAAATTAGACCCCCCCCTGTGAGAAGAAAGATAAACCCTTTCCCTTTAATGACTGAATGATCTCTTTGGGGATTTTATCAGCAGGATGATAAATGGGGTTTAGCAAAACTGGCTTGGTGGTGTGTAAATTCTAATTAGGGATGAGGAGGAGGCAGGGAGTGGGGAGGAGAGGGTTTGGGGGATCCACACCAGCACCCCCACTTTGGGAGGGTCAGGACTGACTTACCAGGAAGGAGCAGAGGAAAATGAACGACACAAAGTAGAAATAGGCAAAATCACTGCCACATTCCTTTTTGGTGAGGCCAGAGAGGGGGTCACAGGCTCTGTTGCTCAAGCAGGACAACATGATCTCATGCCAGGCTTCCCCTGTAGCGCTCCTGCAACACCAGAGCAGAGGCTGAGTTTATCCAGCCCTCCCCATGACAGCCCCCCTCCAATAACACTGCACCCAATCAACCAAATTAATTAGGTGGAAGGTTGTGTCCAAGAGCAGAGACTGGATTTACACTGGGAGTTGGAACTACTCACGAAAAAGAAAGGAGAAAGAACATTTCCCTCTGTTACAGGGAGGTAAAAGAAACCAGCCAGGCTCAGGTAGGCTAAAAGTTTTATTGTTTCTGTGGAGAATAAGATCAGATTGATTTAAATAGTACAAATCTGAGTAAACAGAGTTTAGATTTGAACCTAGTGCTGGCTCTATAGCCAGTGGAGAGGATGGGAAATGAAACCAGGCTTCTCCACTGGAATCTCTTATTTCCTTTATCAGGCAGAAAAATTCCAGCATGGGCTGGTTGGACTTGGGTCTCTTTTTCATCACAGTCTCCTGAGTGTTCTTCACCGATTCCCTCCTTCCTCTCTGACTTCTACTATTGAGAGAAAAGAGCCAAAAGGAAAAACTTTAGAGTCCCAGAGAGTTTGTCCTCAAAATAAAACATCTCCCCCAAACTGCCCCAAGCTGGAGCAGAGCCTGTTTTGCCAGGTCTTAAAATGAAAATCTGTTATTTAATTGATTGGTTTTTCATTTGAAAATGCTTCATTTCCAGGCAGGATGAACCCAGAAGGAAACACTTGAATTCTGAAGCAGAGATGGGGTTGGTGTAGGAGCTGTTGACTTCTGGTTATGCAAAAACAGCCAATTAAAGCAATTCCCGCTTAAAACAAAGAAAAATTAACCAAATTTCAGGAGAGGAAACCCATGAATCAGTTAAACCAGTGGGGTTCTGTCTGAGCTGCCATGGGGTGTCACAGCTCTAGGTGACACTTTGCAGAGGGCTTGAATCCGATCTGCCGAGGAGGAGGAAGCAGGAACGGATAATTTACACAAATATCTGTTTTAAAGGATGTCCAAGTCTGAGCAGCTCAATTGGCACCTGCACAAAGATGTTTTTGCTGTTCACACACAAACCAGAGGGTGTTTTATCCTCTCCTTACCTGAACAGGAGCATCAGGGCTTGGAGGAAGGTTCGGAAGTTGTTGTGTCGATTAATGGAGGTTTCATCATCTAAGGCAATGTTCCCAAATACCTGCCAGGGAAAGCAGAAGGGGTTCAGCCAGGCACATCAAGTGGAGTTGGAAAATAAGGCAGGGAAAGGATTTGTCCTCGTTTAAGGGCTCTCAAAAGCTGGAATAATTTCTGTGCTGAAAAGGGAGATAAAAATGTGTTGTGGAGATCAAACACAAGATTAATGTGCTTTGTAGTCACACAGCTCCTTTCCAGCAGTTCAGCTCCATCCCAGGCCAAGAAAAGTTCAGTATTTCTTCTCAGGAAGGTGCAGTGCCTGGGCTGCTCCCTCCTCTCAGCCTCTTGATGTGTCCATACCCAGGGGAAGGGATGTCTTTTCCCGTGGGATTCACAGATGTCCAGTGCTGAAACATGATCCAGGCTCATGCCCACAGCTGGTTTGTCCAGCTCACAGGGGATGCTTCAACATAAAAAAATATTTTTCTATTAAAATAGAAAATGAGGCCTTTTTTTTTTTTCTTTTCAATCTACCTGACACCAGATAAGAAGAGCTTTTGCCTGATCCCAAATCACTGCTGCTCCTGCTGTGGAGGCAACAACCATCTGCACCCTGAACAAACCCAGGCTGCTTATGGCCAGAATGAAAGAATTAAATATTTTACCTGCATGCCAATAATGGCATAGATGAAGAAGAGCATTGCAATGAGGAGACACACATAAGGCAAGGCCTGTGGGAAAGGAGAAAGTGGGATTAATGACAGCAAGTTCAAACATTGAATCCCCTGGCAAGACTGAGTTTTGTGGCATTTGTCCTTCAGGTGTAGGAACTGGGAAGAGGATGTGAAGAATTCTGGCAGCCTTCAGGAGACAACCCCCTGGAGCCAGGGATTCATCAATCACACAACAGTCAGGGCTTTCCAAGGGCTCTCTCTGTATCCTTGGAAGCAGCAAGCAGGAAAAACACAATCTGAGTCTCAGCAGAGAACACTGGAGCTACCAGCAGGCCACTGGCACTTTGTGCCATCATTGTATGAATATTAATTGTTAAAGACTTTGCTGTAAATTCAGTCTGAGGAAAAGAAATCTCCATCCCAGAAATGAGTTCCTGCTCTGGAACAGGCCCAGTTTGGGATCCCAGGAGGACAAAAAGATTCTGAGTTTTAGCAAGAAATCAGTGAAGGCTGCAATGTAATTATGTCACCCAGGCTGAGAGTGACAGCTATTTTCCACTTGCGCTAAATGAATGGGTAATTAATGCCTCTTAATTAGTGATAGTTCAAAAACAGAGCAGTCTTGCCCTGTGGTGCTTGAGGCAAGAGTTCTGCAGGCCAAGGGAGCCCAGCAGGAATTGTAGAATCCTGAAATATCCTGAGCTGGAAAAGACACACAGAGATCATCGAGTGCCACTCCTGTCCCTGCCCAACACCCCAACATCCCAGCCTGGGCATCCCTGGAGCTCTGGCAGCCTCGGGGCCGTGCCCATTCCCTGGGGAGCCTGGGCAGTGCCAGCAGCCTCTGGGGGAAGAAGCTTGCCCTGCTCTGCAGCCTGAGCCTGGCCTGGCCCAGCTCCAGCCGTTCCCTGGCTGCTGTCCCTGTCCCAGAGCAGAGAGCGGAGCTGCCCCTCGGGAGGAGCTGCAGCCCCCGGGGAGCTCTGCCCTCAGTCTGCTCCAGCTGAACAATCCCAGTGCCCTCAGCTGCTCCTCATGGGCCCCTCCAGACCCTTCCCCATCCTTGTGTCCCTCCTTTGGACACTCTCACACGTTTAGAGCTTTAGATCTTTAGATCTTTTTAGGTCTTTTTCTTACTGAGGTGCCCAGAACTCCCCCAGTACTGGGGGTGAGGCCGCCCCAGAGCAGAGTGGGACAATCCCGGCATCGCTGGGCCTGAGGCAGCTCTGGGATAAAACCCGGAGGAAACCTGAGGAAAAAGGACTGATGTGGTGTCTGCTGGACACCTCTGCACGAGGGGCATGGCCTGAGAGCTCAGATCTGGGGTGACAGACAGACAAACATCTCCTCATGAAGCCCAGGAAGGTCCTGGCTCCTCTTCAGGGCCGCACTCTGGACACAGGCTTTGGGAAGGGTCAGGATTGTGCTGGAAAAAGCTGTGGCTGAGCCCTTTCTCCCAAAATCCATCCACTCCTGACTGGGAACACCTCACACCCGCAGACCCCACAGAGGGACTGGGCTTCTGCAGGAACAGCTCCCAGCCCAGAAATCCCGGTGTGTCAGAACCCGGTATCACTGCCACAAATCCGGGTTTCACATTCTGTGCTCTCCTCCCTGCACTGCAGCACCTGAGCAGGCTCCAGAACCAGAGTTTAAGCATAAAACAATGAAAAATAGGCTGAAAACCAGCTGAGAGCTGTAAAAATAACCAGCTTTGGGGCATGTGGGCTTTTGTTTAGAGACAGAAAACAGCTAATTCAGTGTGCTGAGGATTGGTGGGAGGAAGGGCAGAGGTAAAGGAAACCAGGCAAAGCAACTGTCTCAACTTCACAACAAAACTTCATTATTTTAATCCCCCACTATTTTTAATTTAATAACTCCATTATTTTGATCCTTTAAGCCCAGGCCTGTGGCTCTACAGCTTCACAGGTTGTGTTACCAAAGCTTGAGGGGCCGGGTTTCACCTCTGCCTCATCCCAGCACAGCCAAATCCTGTGAAGGTAATTTAAACTTACACTCCTGCAGGTGAAGAACAAGGCACTCAGCAGTCAGGCCACAGCTTCTTTATGCAAATTCCTGAGGGCCCAGGCTTTGCCAGAGGGATTTTGGGGTAGTTTCAAGGGTAGCCTGAGCGTGGAGAACTTGCTGGAGTCTAAATGAGCAAGCAGCCCTTCAGCCTCATCCTCCAAAATGCAGCGTTCAGGGGATGGTCAATGCTAACCTGTTCTATTTTTTTGTAGAAAATGAATAATCCTGGGGCTGGGCAGTGCTCAGCATCTCATTTTTAGCAGAATTAATATTCCTAGGAATGGTCAGTATGAATCAGTTCACTTTCAGCAGAATTAATATCCTTGTTATGCTAACCAGCTGAATTAATAATTAATATTCTTGGTGCTAACAACTTTGATTTTCTGCAGAATTAATATCCCTGTGGCTGGGCAGTGCTCACCAATCCTCTTTTCTGAAAATTCCTGAATTCTGAATTCCTGTCATCGCTCTGTAGAGGTGCAGAGAGGCCATTCCAAGACAAGGGAAGCTCTTGGATCCTCACTGGAAGATGCTCCACATGCGCCAAGCACGACCCTCTCCCCAAATCTCTTCCCACATTGCCCAGGCTCACCTTGAAGGACTGCACGAAGGTCCAGAGCAGGATGCGGATGGTGTAGCCCTGGCGGAGCAGTTTGATGAGCCTGGCTGCCCGGAAGAGCCGCAGGAAGCTGAGGTTGATGAAGTTGTCCTGCGGAAAGTAAAGGTTTTGTGTCCTTCAGAAACGACCGCGATCCGAAACCACAGCCCGCAAAAAAGAAATTAAAATTACCAGCTTCACGATCTAAGCAGCAAATCGGCCACCAGAAAACCTTCCAAAAGAAACATTCGTCAGTGCAGATCACTCCACATGCAGCAAGAATGAGAAAACCCCTCTCCACAAGAGCCCTCCCCTCTGCTACTAGGTCAATGAGAGAAAAGGAAAAGGCCCTGTCACGCTGTCCTTGGAGGGCTGATTTGATTTGAGCAGGGCAGATTTTCTCCCCCTCAAGACTCAGGGAGAGGGGGATGGTGCCAGATTTTCATTTTGAAACGGAATGAGGTTGGTTGAAAGTCTTGGTCAGCTCGGATTTGACAAGGAATTGAACTTAAGCCAAGACACTCACAAGGGACAAAGAAAGGCATTGTCCAGTGAAGAATCAAACATCCTTGGAAGAATGATGTTTTCCAACCTGGAGATTTCCAGTGTTTGTACAGCGTGAAACTGGACAGGTTTGCCAAGGAGGAACGGCACCAGAAGATTGTTTGGAAGATGGATCAAGGGCAGCAGGTCAATTGGGGAGGTTGAGCTTTCACCAGCAGGGAGATGCCTTAGGAACCTGCTGGTTTTCCAAATTCTCATTAAATGTGTCTGCACAAGTGGATCAAAGAACTGCTGGAGGCAGGTTCTGATTTCCATTTGTTTTCTAGGATTTTCCCCACCCTCACCCCTTTTTTTTGTTTGTTTTCTTTACTTTGAAGAAAAGAGGATTCTTGCCCCAATGAGCTAATCTAGAGAGGGTTCTTTCCAAAACAAAACATGCAAAAGCCAGATCCCTCTTGCCCTCCTATTTTAAGGAGATGAAAAAATATTCCCCTTTCCATAATTCACTTTTTTGTGGATCTCTGATCACAGCCACTTATTTGACTGAGTGAGCTAAAGAGAGAAAACATCCCACTTTAAACTATTGAGCAGTGAAGCAGCAAATATAATCATAAGGAGCTCTGCTTGGTAAAGATGAGCAAAAATTGTATTTCCCTCGGATTATTGTTTTACCAGAAGTCACATTGAACTGACCCACATTTCTTGCTCATTTGGCTACAGAGCTCATGCTGAAATTGGGGGGCTTGTTGGATCTATGGAGTCTTTCAATGCCAGCTCAGTTTTGGGGCCATTAGCATTGCATTCCACCAATCCCATCAAAGAGTTCCAGAACTCAGTCTCAGGCATGCACTCGGTTTCTCTCAGGTTAAAACCACAAGCAGCTCAGAGTTAGGCACAGACCGAAAATCAGACTCGATCTTCAAATAAAGAGAAAAGAGAAAAGCACAGGAATGTTCAATGAAGGAGCAGACAACACTGAGCTCATTCAAGCCAGCAACAGAAGCCACCTCTGGCAGGCAAAGCACGAGCGAGGATTCCCCTGGGTTGGGCAGAACAGGCACTGAAAATGTCCAGTTTGTCTCAGCATCAGCTCCAGGTTGGTTTTCACAGCGCTTACCTTCCCTTCACAACAGTCCAGCTGCACTCACCTGAGCAGGGCAGGGCTGGGAGAGGCCCCTGGGGCAGAGCTGGAACCCAGCTGGGTAACGGGGACCATCCCTAATGGGGTTCTTCTTCCCCCTGGTCCCAGGGCAGGGCACAGGTTTACCATGAGCCCTTTTAATCAGGAAAATCTCCCCAGCAGTGGGAACTGGATCAGCCCTCGTGTGTCTGAAATTCTGATTTTAACTTCAGAGCAATGCTCAAGCCAGATCCTTCCTGTGCACAATCCTCAAGCTCCAAGGAGGAGCAGGGGCATGAGATCCATCTCTGTAGGATCCTGTGGGATCTCCCTCTTCCCACATAACTGCAGCCCAACAGCAGGAGCGTTGTCCTGCTCAGGCTTTGCTGAAACCTCACCATCAGAGCTGACAGGATGTGTTTGACACCTACTTTGGGCTGGGCTCCCTGCAAGCTGAGCTACCCAGTGCTACCCATGGAAAAGGGATATAAATGGGAAGAGGGTTCAAGGCTGTGCAGTTATTTCTGTGACCCCCCCCATTCTCTGAGATTTAGATGGATAAACAATCCATAGATTTATTTTTTTTCCCCCCACATTCCCTATTTGACTCTGGCACTGCCATTTCCTAGAGAGCACTGAAAGCCTCAGTTCCATGTGGAATCACTCCCAACCCAGGACAATCCCCCATCACCACCACCCTGGGACTGTTGGACAGTTCTCAGCACTGCCTGGAGAGAGGCAAATTCCCCACGCTGCTGGTGAAGGGCTCCACCTGCGTGGCACCCTCAGCACCTCACAGAGAAAACCCATCCTCCCACACCTCGGCTCTCCAGGCAGGAATTGGGATGGCATGCAGCCAGAGGGGAAACTCCACATTGCTGTATTTCTTGGGTAAAACAGTTTTTGGCATCAATTCTCCTCCCACTGAGCCACCTCTGTGCCGTGCCATATCTGGGTCATCAAAATCAATCAAAATCATCTTTTCCAGGTTGGTTTTTTTTTTGCTTTCCTGTTGCACAGATGTGCTCACGGTGCTCACTACAGGCACCAGAGCTTTAGGATTTTATCATCCATCTGAGGAATAACGAATTATGTTTGGAAAACCTTCTCCCCCTGGCCTGTCACTATTTTCCTGAAAAAGAAATGGCTGGTACTGAAGGGATCCAGGCACCAGCCAGGGCCTGGGGGTCTGGGAATGGCCGGGCACTGTCACCACTTCCCACAACAGGAGATGGCTGATGCATCCCTGAAAAAACTGGGAAGCAGTGGGGAAACGGGGAATAAACACCACTGATAAAGAGCTGCCCTTGAAGGCTGTCCCACCACGGGAGCCTGCTCTGTTACCCTTTCTTATGTTGTTTTCATAGAATCCCAGAATGTTTTGGGTTGGAAGAGACCTTAAAGCTCATCCAGTGCCACCCCTGGCATGGCAGGGACACCTCCCACCATCCCTGGCTGCTCCCAGCCCTGTCCAGCCTGGCCTTGGGCACTGCCAGGGATCCAGGGGCAGCCCCAGCTGCTCTGGGCACCCTGTGCCAGGGCCTGCCCACCCTGCCAGGGAACAATTCCTGCCCAATATCCCATCTATCCCTGCCTATCAGTCCTTCCACCCTGAGTCAGGAGTGCCGGAAAAAATATTTTGTGTGTGATGCCCAGAAATCTCCTCATTCCCTACTTGACAGAATCACAGAACATCCTGAGCAGGAGGGACCCCCAGGATCATGGATCCAGCTCCCAGCCCTGCCCAGACCCCCAAATATCCCAGCCTGAGCATCCCTGGAGCTCTGGCAGCCTCGGGGCCGTGCCCATTCCCTGGGGAGCCTGGGCAGTGCCAGCAGCCTCTGGGGGAAGAACCTTGCCCTGCTCTGCAGCCTGAGCCTGGCCTGGGCCAGCTCCAGCCGTTCCCTGGGTCTGTCCCTGTCCCAGAGCAGAGAGCGGAGCTGCCCCTCGGGCACTTGGATGCCGAGAGGTCGAAGGAGCCTGGACCTGTCTCTATGGAATAACGACCCCAACCCTAACAAAGTGCAGGATGAGCTTTTCAATCTTTAACCTCCAACAGGGACAGCAGCCAAAATTTAGCAAACTGATTTTTTCCCGATAGATTTTTATGTTCACAGCTAATGCCAGAACCCTTTTCTGTGCTGCCTGGGCCAGGTGTGCAGTAAAATCTTCAAATTTATCCTGACTGCTCCCACACGTCTGGAAGGGATCCAACACCATGGAGGATTCCCTTCTTGGCTTGCACTGGGCGAGCTTTGAACTTACACATTGTCTTTTTCTCTGCTGCTTCCCAGCAGAAAATTCCCCCCAGGACCCTCCATGAACATCCACAGAGCTTCTGTTCAGCCTGGAAATAAAAAATTCACCCTGTTTTCTTTCTTAACAGCAACTGTGCAACAGGAAATGTGGATGTTCACAGATCCAAGAGCTGGTGTCAGGTGGCTAAGCAAGGGTTTTTTGAGAAGCTTTTGGTCTCATTTGTGTTATCAACCATAGCCAAGGTAATTAAGAATGGAAAAATAGATATATTTCTGATTGCATTTTTCTTTATGAATTCTCTTTTGGTTAATTGGTGATTTTTAAAGAGAAAGGTCAATATTTCCAAAGGCATTTTCGGGATAAATTTGCACTTTGGCACTGTGGGATCTGGTTCCTGGTACTTTTCAGCTCTGGTCAGAATTTATTCATTTTACTTGGGGTTTTGGGTTTGCATCCAGTGACTCTGTGTCCACTGTGGTGGCAAAAAGGATTCTTCTTTGGGTTGGTGTCACAGAGAATTTTCAAATTTCAGATCCTTCTTTCCCACCATTTTTGATTTGAGGGAAGCAAGTCTGCCATCACCCCAATAATATTTTTGCCTTACCACACACACAGGTTAAAACACCTGTAAGGCTGTCAGGTGCTTCCTTCGGCAGAAAGCTCATCCAAAAAGAAGCCAAAGTGGTTCACTCCACTTCCAGAGAGCTGAATTTGGTACCACCACCTCCAAACCCCAGCGTTTCCAGGATGCAGAACATCCTTCCCTCGCCATCTCCTCCCGTTTCCCGCGGAAATAAAGCAAGTGGCAGTGTCCCCTTTGGCACAGGGGGTGGCACAGGGAGCAGGGATGGGCTATTGGCAACTGCTCAGGTCACCAATGAGCCCAGGGAGGGAGGTGCAGGGCAGAAGCCACTTCAGGGCACGCGGCAGTGAGGCTTTTCCACCAGTGCAATCGAAACTCTCATCAAAAAAAAAAACCAACAAAACAAAACCAAAACCGGATCAAACCAAAGGAAAACAAGAGAAAAATCAAAGCAGAGAATTTAAAGAATTGTTTAAATTCAATGAAACCAACCGTGTCCTATATGTGATGTTGTCATGGATGGATATTTGCAAGATTATTTACAAAGTTTTATATATTTTTTTTTTTGAGCGGCAGGTGCACAACATACAGACGGAGACATGGTTTTCGCATTGTATGTTGATTGGATGGCGTGATTCAGCAGGTAGATAAGGAAAATAAGGAACAAAAACAGGAAACAAAAGAGAAAATGAGTAATCAGGACAAGCAAAAAGGAAACTCTGAAAAATTTCACTGGAAAAAAACCCGTCGGGGCTATCGAGGGGAGGTGTTATTTTATGGGAACTCCGGAAATAAAAAAATGCTTTGAACCAAATTAGATTTGGAGATCCCTGAGGTAACACACACAGTGCAGTTGTTATTTGCATTTCGGGTTGTAATGCAAATTTGGAGACAATTCACAAACACTTCTCAGGATGGTTTTTTTTTATATTTCCAGGCATAGATGTCAGTTTGCCAACCACCCACTCAGCCTTCCCAAGGCCAACTGTGTCCACATGGACACCTTTTCCTTAATCCCACCTCTTTTCCCTCAATTACTGAGGGTAAAAAAACTGACATTCATGCTTTTGCCTGAGGAAATAAAAAAATAGATATTCCACTACAATCACAAAGTAAATTACGTGTGACATGATCAGGAAAATTAAAACGAAGCGATTAATCCACACATTTCTTTTCCTTTTGTCTTTACTTCTCAGAGGGTTAAAGGTACCAAACAAGGCTGGTGGAAGCCAAGTCTCTCAAGGTGAGGTCACCCAGAGTGATTTACCTTTGGAGAACACTTCCAGCTGGAAAATACGGAGGAAAACGGTGCTCTGGCAAATATTTGTGAGTCTGAGCTCAGTGGCACAGCTAGAAAACATCTCCAGAGGGACCTGGAGGGTGGTGGGACAGGGACAGCTGCAAGCTGGCACTCAGGGTCACCTTGTGGCTGTCACCTGGACTTCCCAGAGGAGGAAACTCCATGGGAAAGGCTGCCAGGAGGGTTGGAGGGACTAAAGGGGCTGCCCCAGGCTCTGCCCAGGAGAGGAGGGGAGGCTGCAGCTGAGGAAGGCACGTGGAGAAAGAGCCATTCCCTGCTGGGGACACAGCCAAGGGCTGTTCTCCTCTCTGCTTCTCACCTGATTGGTACAAGGAACAACACCTCTCTCACCCCATGGGTGGGACAAGAGAAAAAAACCCTCAGAACATCTGCGTCATTGTTTTGAGAACTAAAATCTTATTTACACAACAGTCCTGGAGAGAGAAAAGTTCCCAAAAGACTTTCCCTTGGGAAACAGATCGGCCCCTGAGAGCCTGAAACTCTCTCAGGCTCAGAAAATCATTCCACACTCCTGCACCCCGCTCGTGCCCTGAGGAAGGAGAGGTGGGCTTGGTTCAGCAGCAGCTCAGTGAATGCTCATCCCCTGCCTTTATTTCCTGCTCTGCCCTACCTGGAATTCTGGGCAAGCTCTGTCTGAAGGGAAAAGCAGGGAAGGAGACCTGGTGTCTACACAGGAATCAGGGAATTGTTCAAGTTGGAAAAGATCTCCGAGATCATGGAGTCCAACCATTCCCCCAGCACTGCCAAGGCCACTGTCCCCAAGTGCCACATCCACTCAGCTTTCAGATCCCTCCAGGGATGGGGACTCCACCTGTTCCAGAGCCTTCCCACCCCTTCCATGAAGCAATTATTCCTAATATCCACCCTAAACTTCCTCTGGAGCAACCTCAGGCTGTTTCCTCTTGCCTTGCTGCTTGTTACTTGGGAAAAGAGATCAACCCCCACATGGGAGCTTCAGAAAGGGAATATTTAGAGAGAGCAGAGACACAAACACAGGACCAAGAGCTCAGGGCTGGAGTGGTCCTGATTTTTATATGAGAGATGTTTGTGATCAGCTCCATGCTGGACACTGCCAGGGGAATCTGGTGACCTCCTTTAGAAAATCCTCTCTAAGGACTGAATGGATCCAGTTCCTCATAAACCAAAAAAAACCCTCTTCTTTCCCACCTGGGAGTAGAAAGGGAAAGCATGTGGGTCCCTGTTGAGGTTTTAGGGGTTATTCCCACAACTCTGCAAAGGTTTTGATGCTGGAAATGTCTCACAGCCCAAGCTGATCCAATTCCCTGGCTGGGCCATCCTGTGGGAGCTGGAGGGAGAGGAGACATCCCATTAACTGAGCAGGGAAGGGCAATACTGTGGCTGCTCCCTGCCTGCAAAATAGCTCCAAAAATGAGGATTTTAGCAGCGTGTGGGCTTGGTGCTGAGAAGTAGGAACCTTCCTGAAGGAGAAGACACCAATCTGGGAGCGACCAGAGGCTCCCTTACCCTTGTGTCAGTGCTGCTTCCTCCCAGGAAAAGTGGCCAAAGTGGAGGTGGAAAAGGTTCAGTCTGTTTGTGGCAGACTTGCATATGTTTTCACAAATTTTCAAACCATGGGAAAAGTTTGGGTGCCCTTGGCAAGGAAACACATCCCGTGGCAGAGGGAGAGGGGACAAACACCCTGTGCCTTCCCACAGCACTCAGAGAGGGTGAGCCTGGCTGCACTGAAAACAAAATCCAAAGCTTTCAACATAGGATGCACCAGCAGATAAATAAATATCATGTGTATGGGGAGGAAAACTCGGGGGGGTTGTTATTTTGTACCAAGGAGGTTAAATTAAAATGCATTTTGTTAGAAACAGTCACATGGTCTTCACCACCACCTGTAAAGGAACATGGGGAGCACAATTCTGAGCACACAGAAAACAAATCTACAGGCAAACCACTGGGACTGAGGAAAAAAAGTTATGGTCAAGTTCAAATTCATCACACTCTGACACATCATCAGCTACAACATGCACTGGGAGAGGAGAGGAGCAATTTATACATCGGGAAATATCGGACTCTCAGGGATTGGCTGCCCCTATGGAAAAATCCTTCTGAATTTAATGATGAGCCTGTCCACGCTGTGAGATATACAACACTTGTTAGCAGGGAGACAGCAGCTCTTGTAGGGCTGGCCAGAAATCCCATGGAAAAGCTGTTTATTCACTCATTGCCCCACAGAGCTTTTGTGACAGGAACAGTCAGACTCTTCACCTCTCCCACTGTCCCTGTGTCCCTGTCACTTCACCCTCACCCTGCCCCGTGACCCAGACTGGGCACAAACCCCAAGAGCCAGACATGTGCCCTACAAAAAACCTCCCTCATTAACACAGCAGAATCCCTTTGGTCTTTTCCCTCTCTAAATTCAGCAGGATTTTTCCATGAATAGGCAGAAAAGGCCTGGGGACAGAGCAGTTGGTGCAGGAGAGAGGGAGCTGCTTCCTGGCAGAGTCACGAGCACCGTGGTTCTCATCAGAGCTTTCCCTCTTTGGGGCAGACAGCTGCGCTCAGCTCCAGGAAAAGCAGAGCTCATGGAACAGGGTCAGCCAAGGCCATCATGACTCCCAGAGGCAGCTCCAGGGAATAAGGCTGGTAGGGAGAAGGTTCAGTGTCTTGACAGGGCACAGCTTTGTTTATAAATGAAATAAATTGAGCAAACTGTACTTACCGCAATCTCTGTTACTAAAATATCAGTAATACTTCCCAACACTGTTACAAAATCAAAGACATTCCAGGCATCTCGGAAATAATTCTGCCAAACGAGAACACAAGGGGAATAGAGGGATCCAGGGGTTATTTTCTTTTTGCCAGCACAGGTCAGGGGGTTTTTTGTTTGCTTGTTTTTAAATGTACATCACAAAACGCGAGCATTTCGTAGAGAGAGGAAAGAGGTGGAAGGGAATGAGGAAGGCACCTACCAGCACACCAAAGGCAATGATCTTCAGCACACATTCCATGGAAAACATGGATGTAAACACAATATTCAGGCATTTTAGCATTTCTTCATAAGCTTCTGGAGCATCATAGAACTAAAGTGGGATGGAAGAAAGGCTGTTACTGGAGGACAGACAGAGTAAAACCTTTCCCAGCTGATTCCTGCTCATTTTAGTCAGGATTCTGTGCTCAGTTTAAATGGCATTTGGGGTTACAATACAACTATTCTTGTCTCTCTTGCTGCATCCTGCACTGAGGGGGCACTGAAGGAGCTTAAAACTCATCTTGTTCCCATGGCAGGGGCACCTCCCACCATCCCAGGATGATCCCAGCCCTGTCCAGCCTGGCCTGGAGCACTTCCAGGGATCCAGGGGCAGCCCCAGCTGCTCTGGGCACCCTGTGCCAGGGCTTGCCCACCCTGCCAGGGAACAATTCCTGCCCAATATCCCATCTAAAGCTACTCTTTCTGTTTGAATTTCCATGGCTTGACTGGACTTTGAGCAGCCCCAGGACCCTGCTCTGCAGGAGAAAGCCCAGGCTGAGCTGGAGATCAGGGCCTGCAGATCCCAGTTCCCATCCCATGCTCACACACCAAAGGGGCTGAGCCCAAGCACCACTGGAAACCCCGGGGAACCCCACTGGTGGGATCTCATCCCAGCTAATCCACCTCCCTTGGGAGCCAAAGGAATCCCACCAGGCACATGGGGACAGCTGGGGCTGCTCTGCTGAGCCCCCCAGACTCTCTGAGAGTCTCTCCAGCCAACAGCCCAAAATTCCAAGATTCAGGAAGATCCCACTCACCTTCATCATGAGGACGATGGTGTTGAGAGCAATCATGACCATGATAAAATACTCAAAGGGAGGGGACACCACGAATTTCCACATCTTGTACTGGAAGGATTGCTTGTTCTGAGGCATGTAGCGGGTCAGGGGCTTGGCACTTATGGCAAAGTCTATGCAGGCCCTCTACAAAACAAAAAGGGGGTGAAACGATGCCAGGAAAAGGGCTGGAAGTCTTTATCCATCAGGATGTGGTTGGGAGAGTGAGCAGAGCATTTACATCAAGTGAGCACTGATTGTTCCTGTAAAATGTGGCACAGAATCCCCAAATCCTGATCAATTTTCCTGGAATATTTACCCTAAAGCATCCCTATGTCCCTTGCAATCCTACCACATTCCATAAGAGCCCAACTCCTCCTAGGTCCTGATCCCTTCCCATCTCTAAAAACACTTTTAATTCCTCCTGATGGGAAACTGTAGGAATCAGAGGATTGGTAAAGGTGTTATTTGTGTTTTTTTAAAAAATATTGTGGAACTCAGGTGTGTCCTCACAGCAACACCTGAACAGCTCAGAATGTTTCATAAAACCAGAACTGAATTTACCAATAAATTATGTACCAAAAGCACTGGGTAAACACTCAGAGATCCCCTTCACTGGCTACTTCTGTTCACTTTATTATGAATATAAAACTATGATAAAAATTGCCTTCTACAAGAGGTTTTGATTCTGGAGAGTTTTCTTATCTGGGATTTACATAAGAATTGCAAGTCTGAAATCACTTTCTGCTCAGTTGGAAAACAACATGGGTAAAGCTCTCTAAATATTCTGCTTTATTTTGGACTTTTTGTTCGTTTAGACAAACAAGGAACTAATTAAAAATCGCTTAAAAATTCATCTCTTTTCATCAATAATCAGGTTCCAGTTTCAAAATATATGAAAAGAGATGGTTCTTCCCAAAAGAGGTCATTGAGGGACCCCAGAGGAAGGATGCTGCAGATGCTAAAAATCTGCATGGATTGAGAAGGAAACTGGATACACCCATGGAAGGAAGATACACAGATGCCAGTAACTAAAGAAAAACCAGCTCAGGAGGTTCCTGAGTGAAAAACAATGGTATTTTTGGGGCACTAAAGAAAAGCCTCACAGCTTCTTGCCCTGGTCTTACACTCTTCTCAAGGCTTCTCCTTCTGGCTGCTGCCAGGAGGAGAAATCCCCGCCAGGCACAAAGCCAGCCTGGAGAGAGGAGCTTTCCCCTGGGCAGCCACAGCAGTTGAACCTCAGATGGGTTTCTGAGGTCTGGCCTCAAGGTTTGCTTCCTTCTACCCCTCCACACTCAAAAACATAAAACCATGGAATGGTTTGGGCTGGAAAGGACCTTAAAGCCCATCCAGTGCCACCCCTGCCATGGCAGGGACACCTCCCACTGTCCCAGGCTGCTCCAGCCCCTTCCAGCCTGGCCTGGAGCACTTCCAGAGATCCAGGGGCAGCCCCAGCTGCTCTGGGCACCCTGTGCCAGGGCAGATCCATCCTCACTTTGCTGTGCTACAGGGGGATGTGTGACAGTGGTTCCCAGCAGGAAGCACTTGGGGGCTCTCCCTGGTTTTGTTTTTATGCAGAAGCTGAAGCAGCCACTCGTTTCTTTGGTCTCTACACCACACACCCTCCAACAACCCCTGGTCCACAGTCTCCCCAGCGCAGGGGGAATGGGGAGTGACCTTCCACCAGTATCCAGGAGCTCTGAGCCCCTGGAACACCAACTCTGGAGTCAGAAGAGGCGGGTACCTCGTTTTTCTCGAGGCTGCACTCTGACATCACTTTATCTCCTTGCTCCTGGAAGGTGATGATGATTAACGCCACAAAGATGTTGACAAAGAAAAAAGGGAAGACAACAAAATACACCACGTAAAAGATGGACATTTCCATCCGGTAGCCAGGGCTGGGCCCCTGTTCCTCGTAGGTGGCATCCACCGAGTGCTTCAGCACACTGCAAGCAAATGCAAAGAGAGAGGAAAGGTCAACACAATCCCTGGGAAGTACCAAGGACCCCCTGAGAATCACTCCCTGTGCAGGGTTTTGCACATATGCTCAGGAAAAGCTTGCTCCCATCCACAAGGTTGGGAAGAAGTTTTCCTTGAGGATATTTTCAGGCAAACCCTTCTTTTTCACCATTCAGCAGAATGGTGGAGATTTGATGTGTCCAGATCCACTGATCCCCCCTGGCCAAGGGGAGAGGATCCAGCTGGATCTGGCTTCTCTTCTCCAGTCAACAGGGATGGAGTAAGAGCAGGGAAAGAGAAGTGTTGATGACATCCAAGTAGGGGAACACAGTGAGGGACTGGAAAAGGGAGGCTGATGTTCTTTTAGTCTTTATTTTATGAAAGAGTTGAATGTCGAGGCAAAGAAACCCTGGCCACACACTGCACTCCACACGTGCCAAAATAAAGTCGTGTGCTGAACAGGAAATGTCATTTGGGGTCTGTCACGCCCAGCAGATTTTCAGCAGAGCTCACAATACTTTTTCTCCTTTATTTTCTTACATTTCCATTATCAGCTTTACCCCTGAGAAAGGTGTGTGACTCCAAAAGCCTGAAGCAAGAACCAAAAACTTTCTGAGCATCCTGGTGTGAGCTCAGGGCACCAAGGAGAACGCAGAGCTCTGCCTGCTGTTCACCCAAGAATCACACAAAACTTAGCTGACAGAAGATTTTTCACATTTCCCAGGCCACCTGCTGTCCCTCAGAGCTTTGGGGACCTGCTTTACCTGCACCATCAGCCCCTGCCAGTGCCTTGTACTCACGTTGGCCACCCTTCCCCTGTGGACACGGTGAAGAGCGTGAGCAGAGCCCAGAGTACGTTGTCATAGTGGAATTCGTATTTTTTCCATTCCCTGGGCTGTGCCTCCACCTCATTTTTTTCATAATCGAGGTACTGACCCCTAGGAAAAAGAGATTTGGAGCCAATGAGATCAGGCATTTCTTAGGAATATTGGAAAGCCCCTGCAGCACAGTCTGGGCTGTGCTGTGGGTTAAAGAATCAAAAGTCTGTGACAGAAGTAAAGGCAAATTTTGGAGCCAGTTTTAGGCATGGGAACTGGACTTGAGGCCTGAAAATGAAACAAATTTTAATCAGGGCATCCATTCATTCATTCATTAGGCAAAGCCAGCCATTAACACCATGCTGGCCCTTAAATTGTCTGACCCAACAGAAAACTTCTGCTTGATGGGGAAACATCTCTGGCTCCCTCTCCAGGATTGGATCTAATTCCTAAATATATCCCACTTTGAGGGGCCTGGAGTGTGAAGAACCTCTCCAATCCACCCTATTCTGTAGTTTCACATCATTTTCCATAATTAGTAACACACCTTGCCAGCCTGCTGGGAAGGACAAAGCATGACAGGGCTTTTAAGATATTCACATCCTGTCCTTCTCATTAATTAGAGGCTCTTTAATGTCCCACGCTTCTGATTATTTATTCAGTGTGTATTTTCTAATTCATAGGAGCTCTAAGAATCGAAGCAACAGGTGGAAAGAGGAGTCACACTATCAAAATCCCTTCTCAAAAATCCCACTCAGCTTTCCCAGGAAAGAAGCTGCCTGCCCTGTATCCTGAAGATCAGAGCCAGGAATGACACAGCTGTTAAAGAAGGGAAAATTCACCTCCAGGGTACCCGTGCTGAATTATTGATTTATTTACAGGAGACTCTTCCCACTCAGCACATCCCTGCCTTTGGGCCAGCCTGGGGAGCTGGAGGAAGCTGCTCCCTGCCACATTCCCTGCTCCCAGCTGTACCTGCAGTCCTTCTCCAGCTCCTTGGACTCGTCCGTGCAGTAGAAGAAGCGGCCCTTGAAGAGCTGCACGGCGATGACGGCGAAGATGAACATGAAGAGCATGTAAACGATGAGGATGTTGAGGACGTTCTTCAGGGAGTTCACCACACAGTCAAAGACGGCCTGGGGGTGCAGGGGCACAAGGTCAAGGGGTGGGAAGAAAGGAAAAGTTCATCCAAAAATCTTGGCATCCACCATTTGACCACACTCTGGGAATCACGGAAGGGTTTGGGTTGGAAAGGATTTAAAGATCATCTCATTCCCACCTCCCACTATCCCAGGCTTCCAGAGATCCAGGGGCAGCCACACCCTCACAGGGAGCAATCCTTTCCCAATATCCCACCTAAATCCCTCTCATTTGGGACTCATTACTCATCTCACACCCCATGGATGCTTCGATGGATTTTCACTTCCCAAAGCTGTGAGAAACAACTCCAGCTTCCTTCATCTCCTGCTTTATCAACAACTTCGGCTGTGCCACTGAATTTCCTGATGCTGCTCACAACATTTACAAAGACAATCACAGCTTGTCAAGACAATATTAGTCCTGAGCAAACATTTCATTATAAAATGAAAATTGCACTTGTTTTGATTTTACTTCCAGTGACTGGGTAAAAACTGTTGGAATAATAAAGGAAAAAAAAAATAGGAGAAACAAAACAACCAAATGCTTTGAATAAATATTTTTCTAAAGAGCTGTCTGTCAAAATGAGGTGTGACTAATGTAGTCAGCATGTGCACTCCTGAACTCCCTGCTAAGAACTCCTCGAATCCATTTCCTACGTGGGTATGAGGCCCTGATTCATTACAAGTAATTCACAGTTTCATTTTAGTCAGAAGTTTGTCATAATACCAGAAATTGAGCAGTCCCTGCCCAAGCACAGGGTTTGTTTAATCCTGCTCCTGTTCCTCTGAATGGAAGTGAATCATTTAAAGAATTACACTCCTGATCAAGCCAGGATTCTGATCAACACTGATGGAAATCCTTCTGATCAGCCCAGAAATCCTGATGGAAATCCCTGTGATCAGCCCAGAAATCCCGATGGAAATCCTTGTGATCAGCTCAGAAATCCTACATGAAATTCCACATGGTTCAACATTACTGTTCCTTTCCAGATAAATTTAGTGTGCATAAAACTGAAATTATTTAAGCATAAATGGTGGGCTCAGACAGAAGCAAATCTACAGAACAGCTGAGCCTTGTTTTGATGGGAAAACAGGAATTGTCAAACACATTTTCAGCCTTCCAAAACAATCATTGTTTTTTTCCCCAGCTCTCACAGAAAACAGCTCACAAAAGGTACTGAAGAGTCCCCAAACCTCAGAAATTACTGAGTTTTGTTAACTCCTTCCATTCTCTCTTTGCAGGACCTGCCTGTACCTCAAATTGTTGGTGTTAGATGAGTAATCATAGGTTATTAAATTTATTTTACTTTTTAGATCACTGTTCTAGGGATAAATCCCTGAATGATGGATTCTTTAACAGAAAGATTAATAAATTAAAGCTTCTCCCATAGCAATGACAAATCTCTTTGGACAGCCTGTGGAAAACCTTGCATTATTCATGTTAAATTCTCTAGGGAAAGCCGAACCCTCCCAACCCCATTTTCTCCTTTATCACATTGAAGAGCTTATGAACTGTAATTTAATTTATTTGCATTTTTTTTTCTATTTGTAGATGTTTTATTTTCACGTAGACCCACAAGAATCCCTAACATTGCCCAGGATGTTTGCAAAAGCACCCAAGTGTTTGACTTTTGCTCAACATCTGCCCAGCTGTTTATGCTCATCTGCCAAAGAGATTCATTACAAAAAGCAGCAGGAATAACTTGGATTAATTGGGAGTCCACCAGCTTCCACTCAGATCAGCCAGAAACCTCCAGAGAAGGGAAAATTTGGGTTATTTTCTAACCTTTAGTTTTGGCAGCCGTTTTATGGTCTTCAGGGGCCTGAGCACACGTAGCACTCGCAGGGACTTGATGGTGTTGATGTCCTTGCCCTTGGTTCCTCTGCAAGGGAGAAAAAGGCACAAGAACAACAGAGGGAATGGTTTGCTCCCCAGGTCGCTCGCTGGGGTGTTTGTGGGGATCCAGGGTGGCTTTGGTGGTGGAATTGGTTGGGTTTGGGGATGTTTTGTCAGGTTTTGTGTCCATCCTCACCAGGGCTGCAGGCAGGATGACCCAGCCTCGCCTGGGATGTCTCCAGCAGCACGGAGGAGAAGGCAGGGGCAGGACAGGGTCCTGGCAGGGCTCAGCCACAGGTGCTGGCCAGGCTTTGTCACCTCCCAGCCACTCAGCAGGACCTGGGGCCATTCCTTCCCCGACTCCACACCTGGACAACGCTCCCAGCCAGGGCAGAGGCACCGGCACAGGAGGATCAGCTCCTCCATCCCATTCCCGGCAGGAGAAGGGACAAAGCCACACATGGCTCCTCCCTCCCAACTGGATGAGGCAGGGGAAGTTTCTGGATGAGGCAGGGGGTGTTTCTGGATGAGGCAGGGGGTGTTTCTCCCTGCACTTCTCTGGCAGGAACATTGTGCCAAGAGGGTTTGGGAGCCTCCCTGGTGAGGGACAGAGCTCTCCTGGAGGTCAGAGCCTGTTCCCTCATCCCTGAGTCTCCCCTGGAGGACATGCCACCAATCCCATGCAGGAACATGTAATATGGCAATATATTACATGCCTGGAACAGTGCTGGGGCAGCTCCCCACTCATGCAGGTGCTGTCAGTCACATTTGGGGTTTAGGTTTTGTCAAAACCAAGTGCAAGGCTCGAGAAGGTTCCTCTTGTTAACATCAAGAGGGGTTTTAGGGGAAAGACAGAGCTCCTTTCCTCGTGCACTTCCGAAATAAAGGAAGGAAAGAAGACAAAGGGTGCATCTTCTTCCAACCCCACGGCAAAACAACAACATTCCCTTCGTTTCACATGGAGTGGAAGATGGGATGGAAATTTGGGACAGAGTTTTATTCATGGCTGGAGGTTCGGGTCTGGGACGGCGCTGAGGGAACACAGGTGGGAATGAGGAACGTGTGGACAGATGCTGACACACCTATTCTGTGCTCTCCAGGCTGCTGAACTGAACATTCCTCTGCTCCAAGAGGGAAATAATGGAAGTATGAGAGACCCCAGAGACCCACGGAGGTTTGTGAAGGACTGCAAAGCCTCCCTGCCCTGCCCTACGCCCTGTGCTGAGGGAGGAACACCAAGAGTAGAGGAAACCACCCAGTTCTGTGTCTGGCTGAGCCTGCTGGGCCCTGGAAAGGTCTGTCTGGAAATCCATCCACCCAAAAGGGATGCAGACCTCACTCCTAAGCCTGTACTACTCAACAGTAACACTGGACCAGAACCTCCAGCCCACACCCACATTCCTGCCCCAGCTCCAGCCACTGCAGCTGTCTGGAAATGCAGGAAGAGGGAGACACAGGAATTTTTGGAGGGCTCTGGGTTGTACCCCAGGGATGTATAACTTGAGAGATTTCCTTTCCACAAGAGGGAGAACAGGATGGACAGGTCCCTATCTTCTCCCTCTGTCCTTCAGAGCTGTTTTGGGGCCATTTTAATCCATCCCAGCTGAGCCCTGATCATTGGCTCTAAAGCCAGGCACTGGATTTACTCCCAGAGCTACAGCACTGATTGAAAGCCACAAAATAACTATTACATATTTTAAAAAACAATATTTGATTCTCATTAGAGACCTTTGATTTGCTCTAGATGAAGCAGGCACTGCCAGCAGAGCTTTTACTGCCTTTCTGGTCAGGTTTTAGTTGAGCTGAAGGTCTGGCCTAGGCTTGGCTTTGCAGATTTGCTTTCAGCTCACCTTGTTAGTTTTCAGGAACATATAATCATGGAATGATTATATGAAGGTGCTTTATTAAAGAGCTCTGGGCGTCAGGGCTACACAGACCCAAATCTGACCCGACTTGGTTTTGAGCTGAACATATTTTATACTCTATTGTTATATAACTTACATATTAATTATTAAACTTACATTGTTCTATTGTATACAGTGATTCCATCCAAGCATGGATTTCTCATGATCCCCTTCAAACCCCTAACATAGTTTCTCATGATTCTTTAAACAATAATTACATCTAATCACATTTAACAATTATATCATTTATCACATACTGACCACACAGGTGCAGTTTCACATGATCTTAGCAAGCACAAGGCCTGACATTTCCCAGGGCTAGCCAAGTCTAACTTTGTTTCTAACTCCTCCAATTTTCTATGATTTTAAAACCTTTTACTATCAACTTAGTGTCACCAGAGCCACCAGCCGACCTGGAGCTCCCCAGTGTGACCCTCAGCAGTGCCCTGGCTGCAGAAGAGTTTGCTCAGCCTCTCCAGGAGGATGGGAAAGGCAGGAGGGAAGCAAAGGGGGAATGGCTGGTGGACAAGGAGATGCCACAGCAGATGCCCAGGGCTGGTGGCCACCCATGGCCCCTCTGCTCCCTGCACTCTCCCCTCTGCCAGGCCAAGCAATTCCCATCCCAGGAAAGGCAGGGGAGCGTGGGGCAGGGCTGAGGGAGGAGTGAAGGGGAGGCTGTTTAGGGGCAGCAGGACAGGCCAGGGACACGGGGACACCGAGCCCAGGGCTCCCCACTGTGCACAGGAGCACCCCCAGCCCAGCAAAGCCCAGCTCTGCTCTGGGGGCTCACTCAGAACCCACATTCTGATATTATTATCAGAATTATATTATATTATATTATATTATATTATATTATATTATATTATATTATATTATATTATATTATATTATATTATATTATATTATATTATATTATATTATATTATATTATACTATACTATATTATATTATATTATATTATATTATATTATATTATATTATATTATATTATATTATATTATATTATTATATTGTATTGTGTTGTGTTGTGTTGTGTTGTGTTATGTTATGTTATATTATATTATTATATTGTATTGTGTTGTGTTGTGTTATGTTATGTTATGTTATGTTATGTTATGTTATATTATATTATGTTATGTTATATTATATTATATTATGTTATGTTATATTATGTTATATTTATTATATTTATTATATTTATTATATTTATTATATTATGTTATATTTATCTGATAAATAAATATTCCCACATTTGCAATTCCAGGACACCTGAACAAACCACGCTGCTCTTGTGCCAATTAACAGCTGCACTAACGAGGCCTCAAGAACGAGAACAGACATTTCCCTGCTCTCCACACCCGAAACAAGGATTTCTGTGGATTTAATATTTCCAGGAAAGGTTAAAGAGACGTGGGGCAGAGCAAATCCTGGCTCCTGCTTTTCCCTGGAATGGATGAGTGAGTTCAGACAGCTCCAGTCACACAGAATTCCTTCTGCCTCAGCAGAGGACACTAAGAAGGGCTGACTGATTTTTTTTCCATTCAGGCACTTAAGCAAATAAAGAGCGTGAGACAATTAAATCTTAATGGGATTTATGCTCTGAGCCATATAGAGAATCCTGAGGGGAAAAAGAAAAAAAAAAAAATCCCATTTTTTTGTCACAGTAAAGGTCCCTGGTATAGGAAAAGCTTTTCCTGGTGCTCTGACCTAGAGTGATACAAATTGCATTTTAATTAAAAGGATCCTCTACAACTCTTCTGTCAAATAAAACCCTAAGGGTTGGGCTTGGGTGTTTTCAAGAACCCTCTCTGCCAACATTGGGGTTTTTTTGCTGCTTTCATACAAAGCCAGATGTCCAAGGAAATAAAAGATCCAGATGGAGCTGGGATTCAGTCAAAAGGTGTATCCAAGCACACATCTGACCTGAATAT